TGAACAAAATGGTACAAATCCCTTTTCTGTAAAAATTACGGTTCAAAAGTTATTGTGAATTATGTTATTTCCCCATAAAAACCCCATAAAATAACGGAAAAATCGGATTTCCCAAAATTGGCTCGAACAATTTTGATAAAAATTTAGTATGTTATAGTCCTTTAAATTCTGAACAAAATTGAACAAATCCCATTTCCGTATATTTACTCTCACCGCTTACACATGATAAAGGTTGTTGACAAACTTATGGGAGAAAGTATGTGTCAGAATGCTGATACCGTTTATTTAAACTAATGTATTGACATCTGTTTCAGAATATAATAACATTCAAATCAATCACAATGTTATCCTTATGGAAGAAACTTTAAGGGCAGCCCACACCCTTAAAAATATATATTTCGAAAATCTAAAGCCAGTTTGCACATCTACACACCTAGACGAACATTTTGGTGTATACTATGTAGGGTTAAATCTTAAAATAAAAAAGCCTTATTGTTCACAAAGTTTTATGTCGCGTATTAAATTTCCATAAACAAGCAAACTACAACATTTTACAATATTCTCCATAAGAATAACATAGGAAATTTTAAATTTGCAGTTTTTTTAATTTTCTCCATAACCATTAACCGTACAAAAACACTTGAATATACTAAATTATTTGTTTTTTAATCTCTTTAAAAAGGTCTAGAGAGAAATTGGGAAATTTTGAGTTTTGAGGGTTTGAAAAATGAGAAAAATGAGGTTGATTTGGTAATACCAACATTTCAAAAAGAGTAGGCCTACCCTGCTAACCCCACAAACAAATCAAGATTTATTGCACTATTAACTGTACACCTCACAAACGTGGGATGCCAGGTTTCACAAGCTACATCTAACGCAGACACTCTCATTGTTTCAACAGTTTTGCATATTTCCCCAACAAAGACTTTGGTACTAGTGGGACAAGAAAGAGACCTTCTTGTTTTGTTGATTACTCTCACTCGATGCAACGTATTCATGCTCATTCCTGCCAAAGGAAACAAGCCTTACCGCATTTTTAATATTAGGAAACTGCAAGAAGGTTTAGGTGAGTTACAATATTTTCTTTTCCTGCTACACGCATTCACGCAGGTTGCGATACAACCTATGCCATATTCAGCAAAGGAAAAAACCGCGTAGAAGAAGCTCCAAAACGAAGCAGGACTTCGGGAATCCGTCAGTATAGCCAAAATATATGGTGTTAGTAGAGAAGTAACTGCGACCTTAACATTGCAAGGCACCGCATTTACATAAGAACGATAGCAAAGCAGAGACTTAGTGCAAATTTCAACCTCGCCTCTATTCCCCCAACCAAAGCAGCAGCCCTCCAATACACCCTGAGGGCTTATCATCAAATTCAGCAGTGGAAAGGTGTTAATCTCCCAGCTACGGACTGGGGCTGGAAGCTAAGTGCTAGTCAGGGTCTAATACCTGTAACAACTCTTCAACAACCTGCTCATCAAAATCTACTTAATCTTATATTCTGCAACAGCAAAGGCAATTGGGAGAAGTATTGTTTGTGCCGAAGAAGCTCGTTATCTTATTCTCAAATGTGCGGACACTGTGCAGGATTTGGGTGCGGTAATACACTACCAGTTACTGAAGATAAACTTGCGAACCAGCATGATTGGACTATGGGAACAGGGTTTAACAAGGGGGTTTTATGGGATATAAATTTGTTTTTAAAATTTTTGACCGTCAAAACACAAAATTTCCTAATTTCTCTCTAGGACATTTAAATAGCCTACAACAACAAACAAAATTCAAACAAAACATTCAAACACATTCAACAACATTCATTCAAACAACATTCAAACACATCAAACAAACAATTCAGTATCCCAAAATGTTTTTGTACGGTTAATGGCAATGGAGAAAATTCAAAAAAACTGCAAATTTAAAATTGCCTATGTTATTCCTATGGAGAATATTGTAAAATGTTGTAGTTTGCTTGTTTATGGAAATATATTGAATAAACATGGAAAATTTAACTATTTTATGTTAATCTACAAATATTTTACTAAAAACACTTGATTAGGCTACCTGTTACTCGTTAAAACTTAGGTACTCGTTAAACCTAATGTTATTTAAATAGATTTAATTTAAAATAAATTCAGGCAAATGGAAATTTGCTTAGTCTGCAGGTTTGCTGCGGCAGGGGTTTTTCAATATTTAATATCTAGCCTGGAGTTTACAAGACATTTTTATGCAAACAGGAGGTTTTTAAGTCAATTAGTTTACTAGTAACACCCATATCCGTAAACGCTGGCATAAATCCAACATGGCCGACTTATTTTTCAAAATGGCGGAAAAGTCCCCATGGGATTTTCTGGGACTTTCTTCTGTGGGTTCAGGAGACCTTAATAAATGATTTCCAACAGGTTGCAACTTTTTTTTTTGAATTTCCAAAATTTTGCCATTTTGGAGCTAATGCACTGGACTATATGTAACAAGGAAATATGATCTCGCAAATTGAAATTTGCTTAGTCTGCAGATTTACTGTGGCGGAGACATTTTTAGTTTATGATAGCTTCTTAAAATCCAGTTTAGAGCAATAGTAAATTAAGCTGCCGCAGAGATTTGCAGTTTGAGTTCAACTAATCACTTGCATTGTGTTATTGTATGATTATAAATCTGAATCTTTATGGTATAAGAAGAAAATAGGCTAGATTAATCAGAGCAGAGTTAACTAGTGAAGAAGCTGAAATATATACTATAAACTTGTGTAATTTATCTTTACCACACAGGATGTCATAGAATGTTATTCCTGATACTTAAAATTATTATTAGCTACCCAGTAGTTAATATCACATGCCATCCTGAAATTACATTATCAGCTGTCTCCAGAAAATGGGCTTAGTAGATGAAAGATCTGCCTTAGAAAATAAATGGAACTTAATGGTGTTATAGCACAGAAAACGTACTACTATAACCCAGAATGCCAACCGCATGGTAAAAAGCATTAAGTGTTTTGAGAGAGCTTTGCCTGTCAATCCGTAGGCAGCGCCACCAGCGTTGCTATGCTATTGAATGGCAACGCTGGTGGCGCTGCCTACGGATTGACAGGCAAAGCTCTCTCAAACCGCTTAATGCTTTTTACCATGCGGTTGGCATTCTGGGTTATAGTAGTACGTTTTCTGTGGTTATAGTTTGCAACTGTATTATGAGTAGGCTATTGACGTAGTAATTAAATATGTTTCTTTAAAGTGAGGAGGTTTTCAACTAAGGTTCTGTCGACACTAAACATTTTGCATTTTCAGAATATTAGCATTGACAGTCTGGTTAGTATAACTTTTTCCTGTGAATTTCCAAAATTTAACTAAGTGCAATTGTTGGTGAGCGTTTCCAATTTCTTAGCATCCCTTGCTACACTTTATCTTCAGTTTATAAATGTTGGGAGTAACAGGGTGAGAGAACATAGAATTACCACTTACAAGTAACTTAAGTTTTAACACCAAACCAGTAAAAAATCTAAATATTCATTGTAACTAATCAGTAGGCCTACTCTTCCTTGTGGGAAAACTGAAAATGTACTTTGTTTAAAGTTGTAGTCATGCACCGCTGTTGATTATGTGATAATAATCTCACCTGTAGCTATTACCTGTTGTAGTGAAAGTAACCTTGCTTCAACGTAAGGACACTAGTGACATAACAGTACGTCAATAAACCCACAACTTTGCTAGTTCCTTATCAGCAAAATCATTCCAGGGTGCAAAACAAATGTCCTTACAATCCGGTTTCTTGCTGTTTGGTAAAAATTACCTTTAAGTGATTGTTCATCCACATATATAAATTTAATATGACTTCTTCTATATCGTTCGATCATTTTATTTGATAAGATGATACAAAATTATATTCTAAATATTCTATAAGATGTGAAATTTTGTTGCATAAAAAAAAAAAAACACTCAAGTATTGTGTTTTTTTTTAACTGGGGTGGATTTTTTTTCTCCTCTATTGTAAGCCAGTTTAGCAATTAAAATGTACTGAAAAAACATCAAATCCAGTTTTCAAAAGAAAAGTGTCCTAGGATGATGCCTATAGTAAAATTGTTTTAACAGGATCAAAACTAGGTAATAGTTTTATGTATTTAATAGCATAAAATCATAATTGCATGAGAAACGCATGCCCTGGGGTGTATGTTGTAGTTAAATGTACATTTATGTAGATGCTTTACAGCCTGTTTTACCGCCAAAGAAATCAAATAAATATTCCTGAAAATATAAAGTGGCAGAGCAGATATTGAATTAGTCATGTGAACGTGAAATAGGAGTAATGAGCCAAAGTATGGCATTGCATGAGCATTACTATGGGGTTAGTAAATCACCTCTACAACCCAGATTAAGCAGCAGACTTGGATTTGTAGAGTTGGCTTATAAGTTTTCCAAAATTGACAGAACCACTTGATCAGAGATGTTTTAGGTTCCTTATGTGCTTGTACAATATGGGATACACATGAACAGTATGGAGTGGGAGGATCTTGTGAAGCTCTGTTCCTGAATTAAGACCAGCTGTTTATTTAGCTAGCTACGACCCTTTATAAAAAGCCCAATGATCAAGGATTAATGAACTCACTTGTGAACCATATAAATGGTTCTGACCATGACCAGCTGTTTCTTTAGTCAGAACAGAACAATTTATTAAAAGGTCAATGATGGGCAGCTATAGGTCCAAAAAGCTGGCGACTTTTCTTGGGATGGAACCTTTGAAATTCTGATTCTCAATCAACTGTCACTCAGATACATCAGCTATATGTAATATATTTGGACTATAGAATATATTTATTCATCACAGAAAAACAATGGAGCAGAATTAAATGCAATAAAGAAAAAATAAGACAAGGCCAGTAAAAAACATCCTTAAACAACAGAAACAAAAAGAGCTCTATCAACAAAGAAAGTTTGCTGAACATTTTGGCTCCTCTGAGATGTTGGGCGGTGGGTGTCGCAAGGTGATCCACTGAGGACCTTGGTCTTGGTGTCGGTCTGGTGACGTCACACCTCGGGTGTGGTCGTCTACATCTCCTGGACCTCAACTGTATATATGTGACCTAGAGCGACCGGCCCAACAGTTAGCTTCAAACAGTCCTTGGAAGTGTTTGAAGAGTTCCTCTACCATTATGAAGGTTCTGGTGAGTGTATTCAAACATTACATGTATTAATATAGCAAATTTAGCAATATTTTTTTTATTGATGGGACACCTGGGAGACCCGTTTGGTAGGCCTATCAGATGGTTATTTATTTATTACCAAAAACAGTAATTGCATACAATACCAACTACCAGAAACATCAATAATCAAAATTAATAAGAAAATCTTATAACATGTTCTTCTGAAGAGGAATTCAATTTTACTTTTTCCTTTTTGTAGATATAATGAAATACATTATTCCACCACACACTGTATTTTTTACACATTTAAACTCTACGTGGATTGAGAAATTTAATGTGTTATAGTTTAATTTTGATGGCTGAATTAAAAAACAAAATTTAACCCTTTGTAAAGGTTTTTAGCTTTAAAGTACAATGTAAAAGTATAAACTATGAAAGGGGATAACTTATTCTCCAGTCTGTGATATTGCCGACTAAGAAAATTAATATTGTTTTGAACATTTTTTTGTTTTGTAAAGTTTTGATTGAAAGATACGAATAAGTACCATACCAACATGTTTCTGGATCTTTTTCAATGTTAAGTAATTAATGAGGTACTTGAGCAGTTAAATCAGTATTATAATTACAAAGATAAGATTACACACCTCCTAATCCCAGAGTTTCATTGAAAAAAAGACTGCTGTTGGTTAGTAGTTCTCTAGTTTTTACTTTGAGATTTAGTAAAGTTGTTAATGGTTCAAACCCCAACAAAAACTATTTACAAGTATAAACACAACTTTTTACTGCATCTCCACAGAATTTTAAAATTCTAAAATGGCCTACATTACAAATGAAGGTGCAAATAAACACAAAATATAAAACAAATAATTAAATGTAAAAGCCATAGTAAACTGCAATTTAAAAATTATAAAATTCATAATAAAAGAGACAGCATGCTAGGGGAATATAGCTGTGAAACAAACCACTTTTTGTATGTCATTATTTCGACTCATTTTTTGTGTAATGCTTTTTTAATATTTGTTGGTAAGGAAAATATTGTGGTTCGGATTCCAGATGCTGTATCATGAAAACTATATATTTGACTTTTCATGGGTAATTTCCACAAAAATCATTAAATAAACAAACACACCATCACTGAAAGTGCTTCAATCAACTAATCACTACATGCTCCCCCAGATTGCCCTGGTCGCCCTGTGCGCTATCGCCTCTGCTGCCCCGGTAGCCCCAGTGCTGCTGCCCAAGGTCCAGGTCGCCCCTGCCCAGGTTACGGTGGTCAAGCAGCCCTACGTCTTCTCTGAGCCTGAGCCTGTGTACCGCACTGTTCCTGTACCAGTGAAGGCTGTCAGCTACACCGCACCAGCTGTCGTGCCCGGGCCAGTCATCGCCCCTGCCCCAGTAGCTTACGCTGCCCCTGCTGTAGCTTACGCTGCCCCCGCTGTAGCTTACGCTGCCCCAGCAGTTGGTTACGCCAGCCCTTATGGCGTGGCTCCTGCTCACTACATCCACTGACTTCATTAGTTCCTTCATGACCCATTAAACTTATTTTAAAACTTATTTTCTATTCTTTGCATGTCCTTGGTGTTCAGAACTCTGGTTTAACCTGATTAATGAGAATTTCCTCCCTGCTTAACACACAGGTTTTTTGTTCTATAGTAGAGCTCAAACTAACCTGATCAATTGGGATCGGACCGCACCCAAATAATAACAAATTTTCATAAATGGATTTCCCAAGTTACATTAGCAACACAGTCGCATAAGATAGATGATAATTGCAACACATAATGACACAATCACTATAATATATGTGACACATCTTATAGTACAGTAGTTTATACAATGATTGTGTAAAAAAGTGTTAACGACAGGAGTAGAGATTTAAGGTACGAGTCTTGGCGAGTGCTTAAAAACTTCTAAGATTGCCGTTAAGACTATTAACGCGAGTTGCGTATAATACTTACCTACAACAGTACTAAAAATTACTACTCATAACTTCTAAGAGAGGTTATGTTTTATGCAACGAAACATTGTACCAAACACTCGGTGGGGCACATGGGAGGGATTATGGCTGACATATCTTGTAGTGTCAGCGTTCGCCGCTAGAACCGCCAAGTTGAAAAAATTAAAATTAATTTTATAATTTTTAGCTATAAAATTAACCTTTTTCATTATAAAATAAATGATCTAAATATATAAAAGGCAAAGCCCTCACTGACTGACTGACTCACTCACTCACTCACTCATCACTAATTCTCCCACTTCCCATTTACCTAGGAGGCTGAAATTCGGTACACCGATTCTTTGGGCATTAAATAGGAAAACTAAGTAGTTTTTATTCTGATCGGGCTTTCGGGCTCCGCCCCAGTGGCTCTGGAGTTTCCCATGTTAACCTTATGAGTCCTCATATTTAAATGGAATGAATGAATCTTAACAGCTGTTTCAATTAAACAAGTTGGCTCTGTTCTATGATGTTCAATAGCATTAAAGTTACAAGGATTACCAACAGGGTGCAGCACTATTATTTCTTTTACATTTATGACAACAGCTAATTTGCAACCAAAAGGTGAGTGAGCGTAGCGAACGAACTTCAACCTGGAAGCGAGTTAGCGTAGCGAACGAGCTAACCTGAAGGCAAGTGAGCGGAGCGAACGAGCTCCAACCTAAAGGTGAGTGAGCGTAGCGAACGAACTTCAACCAGGACGTGATTGAGCCATGCGAATGAGCTCACTTGTGAAGTTAAACGGGGCAAAGCCCGCGGGTACAGCTAGTTAATCATAAAATTAATGTTAAAATTTTTAATTATAAAATTACTGTCATAACCTAACCTAACCAACCAAACTTGCTGATAATATAAAAAAGATATAAGATGAAAATCGAATAAAGGTTTACTATTAAACAAAATTTCTGTTCATAAATAAAATTATAAATGCATTAAATTCTAGGTTAAGAAGTAGTCGCATTCAAAGCAAAATCTTTGGCAAAAAGATAGTGCCCCCGGCTGGTTTCGAACTGGAGACCTCCTGAACACCAGTCTGAAACGCTACCTACTATGCCACGACCGCCGCTGTAAAACATATCGTCTCGTTACGGTAATCGTGTTGCCTCAAGAGAAGACATTAGCCACTATAGATATGACGTCACCACACCTTTAGCCATCGTCCCTCCCGTATGCCCATTCGACCAAACACTAATTGCACCCCTCAAAAATTAAATTGGCCTGAACAGCTGATTAGATGAAGTTTGAATCATTACAATTTTACTTCTTTTCTTTCAATCTTTGAACCTCATAGGTCCCTGTTGTTAACAACCCATGTTGTTAATGTTAAGTAAAAAAATGCTATTACGGAAGTGAACAATGCTTTTAAATGAATCTTTTGAATTTTAAGAACTGAACTGAATCGGCTAGTTTACAAAACGGTCGTAGGTATTCAACGATTTAGTGTAAACTGCAACCACTTTTTTTTCTTCTTGAGGTGTTTTAGATGATTGGAGATTCGAAAGAGTAAAGTTAAACGCTTGTTGTTTGAAAAAAAAACTTTATATTTTCTACAGCATCTGATAGTACTGGGAACATTTTTAGTTTCTTAATTGACTGTTGGTTACTGGAGTAGATATGCCATCTATATTGACCAGCCGTAGCCAATTTTTTTTTACTATTGAATGAGCCACTTAAAAGTGGTACTACAGTATAACATTCTATTTTATCTTTTATTCACTGAGATAGTTAAGTTAAATTAAAGTTGTTACAGTTTACAAATTTTCATTTCAGTTTGGTTAAGTTAACACGACTATGTATTCATCAGAAATCAGTAATTGATCTCACCGCTCACTGTTTGCCGTTCAATTCAACTTAATAAAAAAACTTATGGCTATAACTTATGGGAATCTGATATCTAGTTCCGTTCATTAACAGACAGATTGCATGAATAACCAACTGTAGAAGATGTTAGATATTTTGGAAAAACTGGATATAGCTTACTTGAGAAGTCGTCTATATCATTCTTATACTGGTATCAAAAACGAAGGGTGAATAAATAAGCAAGGCTATAACAGTACATAAGTATATTACTGTATTCGTACCACATTTTAAAATCTCTTAAAGCTGTCCTCTGATTTAACATTCTCACTGTATTTACAAGGCTGGTTCTGTGCCTTCCACTCCAATATAACACAACTGTGTTGCTATATGGAATAACAGTGTCTTCGGACTAGTCTGGTTGTGTCTAGAAGATTAGGACGATAGTGTTTTGAGATTTCGAGAGAATAATAATCTTGTTGTCGAAAGAATGAGAATTATTTATCTCTCCTGAGCAATTCCAGCTTACGTTAAATACGGTGATAGCGAAATCCTTTGGATGAATCTTGCGATAGTACCATATTGGTTATGTCAAACATTGATTAGTTAGTAAGTTCCTGTAGTATTTTTTTTTTTTAATCATCTAAAATACACCTCTGAGGCAGAGTGTTTATTTTTAACTCTTAAAGAATTTGTTAAATTTGGCATAAAAAATTACATCTCAATTGTATCAGTTATATTTTAGCGATTCTTTGAAATAATAATCCCAATTTATAGCATTCTAATGTAATAATCAAACTCTGCTGTATCACAGTGATTGTTATAGATAAAAAGTTTGTCAGTTAGGATTAATTAGATGCTAGAACTGTTTAGTAATCATTCTCATCACAAACATTACCACACAACCAAACTGGTCCGAGCATAAATTAACACTTTCCCAAACATTTCCATTTTTTTGACACAAAGTCCATCAAATTTTCGTCACCTTAATCTAAAAGTAAAATTATAATTAGTTTTATCTGTGAATATGGGTGTGTAATCAATTAAAGTAAAAGAAAGAAAAGCACCATTATGTTACAGCTAAAAACAATAAACACATTCGTAAAAAGTAAAGGATGTGCAAAGGGGTGATTGCGGAAATCACTTGGAGTGCTAATCTTGACCCAGGTTATGCGAGATTACCGATTACCCGATTGATCGATCACTCGAAAAACAGGTACACTAACACTGGTAACAACTGAAACTCTTAATCATATCGATATTGAAATGTTTATGAAACAAATGGAAAGTGCAAATGTTAAGAGACAGTGAATATATATTTACAATAAGCGGTAAGGTAACATTTATAAAAAGAAAATACCAATACCGATGCGTAGTTACTATAAAGGAATGATCATGACATTGTTCACAATATTTGGTTTATTGTTGTAACAAATCTGGTAACATAAACTATGCAGAACTCAACAGCAACTGAATATGTACGTTAAATTACGTCAAACTATAATAAACGGTGCCACGGAAAAACAAAATTTCACATCCATGGATCATATTTACATTTGGGACATTGAGTCATGATGAGGGAGTTGATTATTAAATCTACTAAAAACAATAAAGTCAAGTCTATAAACTCGATTCTATCTTAGCTTACCGTCTCTACAATGGTAACGTAATTAATTTACAGATTATTTCTCCTATGTTTCGACATCCTTTAAATTCTTTTAATTACACAATAATCAAATACATAAATAGTTAATTTCAAACAACAAAACTTGAGCTGGGTTTACCTTGATATTGTACAGTCAAGGTGACACAATCATAGTTTCACAATTTTGGCACAATATTGAAAAGAAATTACACATTGTTTGGTATAAAACCAAAGTAATTTATATCTTAAATGTAAACAATGAGGATAACGTTCTACTTCTATGATACTTCACTCTCAAACCCAGCTATAAAAATCACCGGTTGCCAAATTAAATATAAAGCAATTAAGAAAAAGTATATAATTGTATGTTACTTTAGGAACCAAATACGTACTGACGTTAACATGAATTGAGAAAAAGATACATGTCACTGTTTGGTCCTAAAAGTCTGTTGAAATCACATTGTTTCAGTTGTTAGCCTACGTGGTTGGAACATAAAACTACCAATAACAAAAACAGCCATGTCCCTGGCAGAAAAATTACATAATGATTGAACATATTATTTACTGGTAAGTGGATTTCTTGAAGTGAGTAAAAGAAGGCAAATGGATTTACTAAATTACTTAATTGAATATGTTTTGGAAAACGATCATCACAGTTTGAGAGTGAACCATCAACCTAAACTATTTGATCAATGAAGGCATGCAGTACAATAACCTTAAGTCCTTTGGTTTACAATAAATACACAAATCTATTGAAAGTTACAAATGCTTCATAAAAACAAGTCTATTTAAGTGTAAGATGAGCTTTACTTAAACAAGTATGGTGTCTTTGGTATAACAACAATTCGGTTGGAACTACCTCAGAACTGTAAATGTGTTAATGTTGTATTGAAATATCTTTGTGCACAGTTGAATTGATGTTTGGAATGAATCAAAGAAAGTAAGTTAAATTAATTACAGCAAAATGGATAAAACTGTTTCCTTTAAGTTTGCAGCAAAACCACCTTTTATATTTTCTTTGTTCATGGGATTTATTTTAGCTGCCAACATGTTGAAATATGTTATGTCAATAAATAATTACTGTATCTTATTGCTGGAAAAATCCTTCTGGAAATTTAGGTTTTTTTTGCAATCCAACAGACCTTAAACATTTCTATCTCAATGATAGAGAAGGTGAAGTATATAGTTTCCAATTTTTTTTTAAACCAAGATGTAGACTTGAACTTCTGAAAGTATTGCTTGAACTAGGGAAACTCTAAAATACTGGTCAGTAAGTTCTACTCAAGGATTTGTTCAGATTTAATAATAACCATAAATACTGACAAATAGCGTATCGGCTTATTTATTTACATAATTGTTTTTGACAAGACCGAGTGCGGGATTCTAGTCGGAGTTTGTGCAAAAATTACAAAGACTACAAGAGGAGCACAGTTTGAGCTAGGTCCAACCCTTCCTACTTACACAGCCTGCGAAAATTTGTACCATGTCCACGATCTGAAAAATCCAATCAACAGTGTGAATAAACTTGAGGATGTCACAAAAAGCTACATGTAAAAACAAAATGATTTGTTGCTGAATCACTGTACTCAACTGTATAGTTTAATAAACACAATTAAAAGATTCATAGATACCTGGCTATGATAAATTTAGCTTCAACATTGTACAAAACAAAAATGTTTTCTATAGACGAGAATATGACAAACCAGATGGGTTTGATTATCAAGAAAGTATTGAAAATGTGAAACAAAATCTAGATTTTAAAATTTAATACTTAATTCAGAATTACTACTTTCATAGCCAAACTAATGGTTAAAATTTAAATATGTAAATTAAACAGTCTTTAGTTACCTGCTTTCAACTTACAATTTAATTGTTAATAATAATTATTATTATTAATAATAATTATAATTTGATTGAGTACAATCTTTTAGCAACACCCACCACACACTGACTTACTGATTATTTTTCTTAATTATTTCATTTTGCCTTTTTGAGCTAATAATGTATGGAGACCTATGATACTTAGATCAGATAGTTCATATTGTATAACCAAAGAAACATAAAGAAACATAACCAAAATCGTCACTGGAGGACTATGGTCAGAATGTTATTTTACAGTAAATAGTGATTAGCGATTAGTGGGATTTTGTAATTTACTTAAACATCAAGTAACTACTGTAATTAAAATTGATATTGGTGATATACCTTTGAGTGGATTTAAAAACTTTCTTACATCCAGATGAGAGGGTATATCACTGCAATTCCATAAACATAACATTTCTGCATCCACAAATCCTATTTTTATTTGCTTATATTGTCATTCACTTCCTTTTTTAAAGGCTTTAAACTAATAAGATATGGTATCTTTGTATGGTCGCCATTTCAAAGAAAAGTAAGTAAAGTATCATCTAACCTTTATCATCTCCCAGGAAAAAAGAAAGAAAACACTGGAAAATTCAAATAAAATAATGTTATAAAATATTTTTGTTTTATTATAATTTATTTGCATTACTTTTGGTTTGATATGATCAATTAAAAACACAAATTTTAATTTGTATATATTCCAAATTCCAACCTCTGTATTACTCTTTTACTCTGTATACCCATCAGGATGACCATAAACCAAGAGGATTGTTAGGCTATAGCCTTAAGCAATACAAGCAAGGCTATCATTAACAGTTTTCTTACCAAGAAGAAAATAAAACAACATAAATGATGACAGCAAATGAGTTACCTGTTATCATTTACTGCTTGTCAGGCTTACGACCAAGGGTGCGAGAGTGAGAGTCAGTAGAAGAGGTGGAGGGTGTTTTGTTCTTGCGAGGAAGCGTAAGGGCCTCCCCTATGTCTCTTGGTTTCCAAACTGGTGACCCTAAAACAATAATTTCAATTATAATTTATTTGAGAATTTGTCTATAGTTAAGTGTAGTTCAAAGTTTATTTATTTATAGCAATCTTTTTGATCATTTTTACCATCCTTTATACTTTGTGAATTTAAGGACCATCTTCTGTTGGCTTAGTTGGGGTTAGATTTTTCAAAGTCAGCAGTAACGGAAACCAACAGACATTTCTATACTAGAAGCGAACAACAGCAAATCAACGCTAACTACAGACGGCACAACATAAAGGATGGCAATGAAATGAAAAAAAAAATATGAAGCGAGATTTTATGTTTTGACGTACGTTTCCAGCTGTGTTGTGTTGTGTTGGTGTCCGTGGAACATCTATCGGAACTTACGACAGGAGTAAACCATAGTAAATAGAAAACAAAAGAAGTAATATAATGTTAACCAAAGAACTTAACTGTGGATTGTGTACTGCAAGAAAACAGTGTTGTCCACACACATGAATAGTAAAGAATCAATGTTTTGAAAAGACAAAAATGTTTCTGTGTATACACCCAAAAAGGAGGAGTTTTCAACATTAGGTACTCTTTCCAACATAAAATATATATTGGATTTCATAATTTATACACATAAGATTAACATTTAATAGACTAACATATCTGAACACTTTTTTATCACTCCAATATTATATTACTTCAATGATACAATAAATAAAAGTTTTACATCCAGAACATACTTCTAGGTAATCTAATAATAGACATTTCACAAAACTTCAACTATAATAATAATATATAAGCTGCATTCCATTTCTTTATGGTTTTCCACAGCCATCAGAAGCGTTGGTAGAGTCTTATGAACAGCATATTGTAACAGCATTAAATATATGACTTGTAAATGGCGTATAATAGTTTAATCATAATCAACCATATGGAAGACAAAACTCGTCAGACAGGAAACCATTATTACAACGTGTCTACACTTTCAAAGAAATCATCGTAACAGTTATTCTGTAGTCTCCATAAAAGATACATTTGGTCTAAAATAGATCTACAACAATAGTAAACAATCTGCCAATGTTTCAGAGAAATAAAAAAAATCCATTAAAAGTTTATTCCAAAACTTTAATAGTATTCAATGGGCCATATTCAAAAAGTAGAACATCTTTCTCTAATTTTTTTGACAAACAGGGAGGTTAATTGAAACATAAACAAAACAGTTTAAATCACCTTCAAACTGTGATCAACTTTAGTAAGACTTCAATGTATGATCATTGACAGAATGTTTAGGTTTCCCTAATTTGTACTATATACTACATTAGATTAATAAATTGTTTTAAATATCATTTAATCAAAACAAATTGTATAGTTATTGAGCATTTATATATTTAAGTTACCATATATTAGACTAACAGAAAATTTCATTGGAAGTATAACTGTTTCTTATAAAAGTTTACTGGGGTAAAAAAAGAAACTTTACACATATTTTGGCAATACATTAATTATTATAATTAGTTTATAATAAACAAAAAATTATAGTTCAATTACAATTACTGAATCCAAATTTAAACAGTATCACATAACATTTCAACCAAAGAAAATCACAAGCGCCTAAGGAAAGATTTATTTTAATTGTTAAGGAATTAATTATTGAATTTTGTGTATTTAGTATTGCAAAAGTTTAAAATCCAAATTCCAGTTAATGAGCTAAGCTACCTATAAGGTGATTTTAGTGAGAAACGTTTAATACAACAGGTTTGTTTTGGAAAGTACATATATGCCAAAAATGTTATCATTGGTAAAGTATGTGGTATGAAAATAGAAATAACATTGTATTGTATCCCTAGCGTTACTCAATATTTTAAACAATATTGTCCATCAAACCTTTAAAGTGTCAAGTTAACGCAAGCAGGAAAACCTAAATTTAGTCCAGACTTTTACTTTAATAGAACAGTATTGCCAAAATTGCCATTTATTAAAATTAACTTTTAATAATTAAGTTTCCTTTATTAGAGATGGTTCAAAAGGGCATGTACTGTAAGATAAATATAAGTCCATATCTATCAGTACATAGTAAGGACTGCACAACCACAACCTTAAGAGATGATCACAAAATATAGCAGTAACTTTAGTCAATTGGATCACATTTGTTATTAAAACAGTGTTATTAGGATTAACAATCACTAAATAACATTTGCTTTTGTAATTCACAACGTGCATCTATTAGTATACCTAAACATGATCTAAAAAAAAACACCATACTTAAGCTATTGGGCAATAGATAAAAAATGTCTTTAACAATGCTTATTTTCAAATTTGTACCTTAATAATACACCGTACGGTGCCTGATAGGCTAAGACAGTTTAGATAAAAATAAAAAATATTGCTTCTTTGCCTGTATAGGAATTTTCTTTGCCTACCTTTTGGAATAAATCAGTTTAACATTTATGAATTAATATCAGTTTGGATTGTTAATGCTAATAATAATTATTGAAAGTATACCTTAATAATGTTTGGGCTTCATCTCTTATAAGTTTTTTCACCCTTGTATGTGGTTACCATTTTTTAAATCTAACTTATCCAGCTTTCAATAACACCATGATAAAATACATAATTATTTTTGGTTTTAGTTAGTTAGTTAGTTAGTTTTAGTTAGTTTAGTTAGTTAGTTGGTTTTAGTTAGAATAACTAGTTACCTTTATTTAAAAATATATACTCTATATTATTTTTTTGAGACGTTCATTTTTTAAACATGTCTTGACTTACTTGACTTAATCTGACTAGGCTATATGGAACTTTATTCTCAGAACATGTTTTAACTGTTCTGCAATTGGTTATGTCAAAAAGCCATTTGACTCATTTACTTCATATAACTTGAAAGTTGTAAAATGTCCTTTCTCCAATAGAGAGTTTTTTTGAAAAGTCTGTATTAGAGAAAGGACATCAAATTTTATTTTTATTAATACAATTTTGATCACCTATGATTTTTTTAGCGATAGTTTTAAATTTTCATAGAGCCAATTTTACAGGGCAAAAAAATAGACAAAGAGATGAAGCCCAACCAGGTTTTGTTCAACATTAGCATGAAATGAACTAGAAGTTCATTTCATGCAGCCTATGTCACTTGATGCGGCCTGCATAATAACATTGAAGGCAGGCGTGGTTCTTACCCAGGTCCTTGACGGTGGGAGGTTGGTAGTTCTCTGGTTGTTGTGATGATTGTATCAGTCTCGCCTGACTCCCAGTGCTGCCAGCAGATAATGTCGATGTCGTGCTGAGTGTCAGGTGGTTGGGAGTGCGACCCAGACCTCCCTTCCCCTTGGCTCCTGATTGGCTGTTCTCGTCCTCCCCTTCTGACTTCGTTCCGGGATCACAATCGTGTTGCTTTTTTTCTGAATCTGCAAAATATTTTTGATTCAGATTGGATTATATATGATGCCAACACACAAAGGTATTTTGCGAATGTGAGCGTTGATTGTACGAGTTTTGTTACCAAGATCATCTGGTTGTATTCAGAAACATTTATTATCAGCCCAACCAAAGACAGCTTGGTCCAGTTTCAAACCTTCAAAAAGCTCCTGACCATTCATATGATCCATCCGGTAACTTTCTGATTTTTGAGTAGTTGAAGGATCCTGAGACAGAAGTTGCTTTATAAAAAGACACATTTTCTGGTTCTGTCCAATAAACATCACACAATATTGATGAAAATTAAGATTATAAATCTTAGCCCATCAATTTTGAATGCTGTGAGGAGGAGACCACAACCTTTCACATACACTGTCCAAATGCCAATTCCTGTTGTCTGAGTTCTCTACATCCCTTGGAATAGCTTGTACAGATCAAGGAGAATATCATGGCACAATGAAAAGAGAATCTCAAGGTTCATAAAGGACATAGGATTTGACAAGGGCTGAGTTCCATGAGGGTGCAGAAGCCAAAATTAGCTATGTTACAAATCCATAAAAATCCCTCGGCAAAAAATGTCAACTCACCAACAGCGTCAGAGACGGTTTTACTTCTTGACCTAAAGTTAGTGTTGGGCTCCGGATGTTGTTCCCTAGTCTCCAGATTGTCGTAGTCTATGTTGCCCGCTGAGTGTCGCTGCGGTCCCTTGGGTGGTTTCTTGGGTTTGCCGAGAGTGTGGGAGCCCTGCATGATGACGACTCCGCTCGGAGTAGTCTTGGTCTGAGGAGTTTCCCCCGGGGTGGCCTGGCGGGGGCCTGTGAGGACAACGAGTAGTGCAAACTAACACTGCGAACAACCGCTACAACAGACATGCAACAGGCAAACATAAAAGAAAAAGAAGAAAAATAAAGGGTAAAATAAAATAAACAAGAACTAAATAAATTAAAATAGTACTAAAGTATTTGCTATTTTCTTTAAATAGAACTGGACATTCCATCCTCATATAGTTGAAGCCAGTTTTAGTTTTAGTAAAAAATTAGCATAGTTGAATTTCAGCCACCAAAAGAGTTCTGCTGTAAATTAATGATTTCTGTTAAACATTCCAACTTTTTAACTCAAACTGAAACTGTCAAACTGAAAGAAAAACTTAGTGTGAACCATTTTATCTGTCAAGTCTCATTGCCTATCACAGTAAAAAAAAACTGAGGGTAAATATAATTTTAGACAGTAGGGTTTTCTTTTCTTTGAGGGGCTCATTCTAAAATGTATTTGAATTTGAATACATGGCTTGTCCAAATAGATGGATGTGTGCAAGAGTTATATTCTTAAAATGCAAAGTGGATAACAGGCATACAATACATAAATGTGAGATAAACCTAGAACGATATAGCTAACTGCATGGAAAAGAAATGTTACTTTGTACTAGGGATTAGTAATGAATAAAAACAAACCAAACAAGAACACACAAGGTTATAAATAAACATATTTCACAACTCATAGCATTTACATGTTATTGGTCATAGTTGAGAGGAATGCAGATTATCCAAGGTGTATTCTCATCTTAATTTATTTTCCTCAATCAATTTTCTTTAAAAATCCATAGATTGTTTATTGGTATACGTTTTCTTTAGAGAATTTTAGAATACAATCAGTTAGGTACATTGCGGTTCTAAACTACAAGAGAGAACCTACAATGTGACTAGACTCACGAGTTGAGTTAGTTGATTATTTAAAGGAATTAAACAATTAAAAAGTTGTGGCTGCTACAAGAACCACACTATTTAGATTCAAGACAATTTTGTCTTCCCAACGATGTGCTGTTTAAGAGATATTTATAGAATCATACAACTGGCCTTTCTTTATGGATACAAATTTTTCTGACCTTCTCATTTCATAAAAACCAACTGTTTCCAAAAAACCAAAAACTAATGTAATCACCAACCATGCAAACAAATTCACCAAGACACAAACACTGCTTGTTGAAATGGGCATCAACATTTACAGACATTACTCTGTTTAGAAACCGTAGTCAATTTGAGTAAGAAATTCGTTGTTTGGCAATAACTATGAAAAGGTGTTTCTGTTATTGAGTTTTCCGTTACTGTAATAATTAGACAACTAAAAATGTTTATTTCATTTTATTCCTCTGTGTCCCATGTGTTACTTTTGTTACAACACTCACCAGTGTTGCTGGCAGACTGTCTACCCAGAGTCGCTGTGTTGTTGATTAGCTGTGAAGGTGAAGATCCTGGTTTGGTCGCAGGTATGCTCATATTTCTCACACTCTCTCTGATGATTTGTCGTATTGTCTTCAAGAAGGCATTACGGAAATCTGCAGTGCTGTGAAAACATCAACAGATTCAAGTTCAAGTAGATGAGAAGGAACTGTTAAATTGTTTAAGAGACTGTGGCAGATAATGTCTATTTTGTGTTCATGTGTTCATGATGAAGTTATCCGGTTGGTTATGAACTAAACACCACACATATTGGAAGATGACGTCATAAGGTTGAAGTTCAAATAGTTGTGGTACTGAAAATGTTGTTCCGAAGATTCAAAACCTTTTAAAGGAAACACGGTAAGTATTGCCCAATCAAGTGCAATGAAGGGATTCTTTCAAATTTTCTTAATAGCCTCATCATGTTATTTCATTTTGACTTTATCAAGCTGAATGTTACATTTTTACAGTCAGTAGGTAGATACTGAATAATATATTAACTCTGCAACATTGTATGATTTAAGCAGAGGAAAAGTTACCTATTGCTGAGGACATAGACTTTCTCCGAGCGCCGCTGTAGTTGGCTTCGTAGATGAATAAGTTCCCAAAGGAAGTGAGAGTCCATGTCCTTGGCAGAGCTGGCTCTAACCTGCACCTCTGTCACTGGGATCAACACTTGGTAGCGGATGATCTCCACCTCGTTGGAACTACCTTTACTGGCCACACTCTGTCAAACAATACATTGTGTTCTTCAGACCTGCGGTTAACATGTGATGCTGTGATGCGCTATGGGCCCAAAAGATAATTGCACACCTATTCACCTACCTTGTGGGGGAATTTTTCACTTTCTGGCACCCCCTACAAAACAACACCCTCTTCCAATTATTAAAGTGGGCATGGATTCCTTCTATATCTTAACTATCCATAACCATTGACTGTTAATCAAATTCAATGATCAAAAGAGTTTTAAGTAATACAAAGTCACGTAAGCCAGTTGGTCACAGCAAGGATAAGATCCTCAATGAGCTAGGGTACTCAGTTAAATTCTCCAAGAACAATTCCATTGAGAGATTCACAGTTCATAAAACTAAAGGCACTGTGATTTCATAAGTCATAAGTAGTAAATAGTAGTGTATCTGGCCTAAAGTAACATATAAATGCATTGAATTTGTTTTGTATACAACAGTTATGATACAATATTTTACCTTCATAATAAAAATGAGATATATGCCTACAATACTTTGATTCAAGAAACCACCTTAAACCTATCAACTTGGATTCAACTTATTTTACCTTTCTTTATCGGTTTTAAACATGTTAAACTAGATAGATCTGGTTTGTGATTTTAAAATATCTTTCAAAATTATTTTGATAAACATACCATTAGCTTCTTCTTCTGTCTAAGTCTTTCTTTACACAGGAAAACAACAGCGGATTTGAACACAAAGCACATTGCATGGAGCTCAAGTCCTTTCTTGATTTTGCCGAGGAAATCTGAGATATTGAGCCACTCTACACCTCCGTAGTACAACAGATCTCCTGGACTGAGATCAATCGGCTGAAACATGAATGGACAATCTATAGGTTCAACTTATACAATGTAATTAATTATTTATGTGTTTATTAATTACCATAGGTACCTCACAGGACTGCATACATCAAGTATGCTGTACTTTTTTCTTGTTATACATCCTTCCTTCACATCATAGGCTCTAGTTCAGAACTGTTTTACTTGTTACTTCGGCTAAGCTTAGAAGTTCGCAGCATTATGACATAGTAAAAGCTACTGGTGATTGGCAGGATATTAACCCAGGGCCTTTGAGACCAAGTTTATCACGAGACCAGCTCGCTCCCTCTAAGTAAGCCATACTATAAAATCAATGCAATTAATAATCACAATATAGTGTTTACTTACTTGTTTACAAGACTTCTGGTGTTGTCGGAACAAGTGGTCAAATATTGCACCGTATTCTTCGTGAATTCGTTGCATTTCGTTGATATGCTCTGCTACCTTTTCCATTCCCTTTAAGGCCTCTGTAACAGGTTAAGTTGTACTTGAGCTGATAAAAATAATCAAACGCACATTGATGGACGTTTAAAATAAGTTTCACAGCTCTGAAGAATTTAATCTAAAAGCCATGAAATAGTTTGCAGGCTAGGTAGACATTCCTGAATCTTACGGTGCAGTGTTTCATGTTCCACAGATATTTTCAACAAAGAGAGCACAGCTAAGGTTGTTGTATGGTTTTTATACATGTAAGTAACAGATAATAATGTTGCTGAGCAGATTAAAATGTTCCAAAACACAGTAGTAGACAAGTACTTTTACAATATTTTAGAATTTAATAAATTAATTAATCTAAACCATTAAAAAGTTAGAAGGCTAGGTATTTCTATTTCTGGTTTTAAATCAGTATTTATTTTACACATACTTTAATATTACAAATATTACACATATATTTTTACGAGGAAACGGCCTTTGAACCTGAGGCTCTGTCATTACTAGTTGCTCTTAGACAAGAGAAAGCGTAAACTTACCAACGAGATGAAGATGTTGATCAGACTGAGGGTCTGTGAGATTTCTAAGCTGCTGCAGCAGGAGTGGGTACTTGAGGATTCTCTGTATGGGCTTGATGAGATAGGATTCCAGGGTGGAGGAGTGTTGTTGTCGTGGGTTTCTTGAAGATAGGAACTCTTGAAGGGCTTGGTTTCCCTCGTCTAAAATAAAAAGAATTGCTTATGTCTTAAAGCATGAAATATTTTAAAATTCCGTCGCAGATATATTTTTGTTGAAACTTTAAAAAATGCTTATAGGATTTTACAAATTTGTAACTAATACCAACCGATACAGTATCTCAGTATGGTTTGGATTTGTTTGATTTGGACAGCCCCATACGGCCATACATACACCGTACTCCCTGTTTTAGAGGAGTTTATGCTTACGTGATTGCTCACCCAAACTGTTGTGTACATGATGTAAACAAAAAAATGTTTGTTAAGCTGTTTAGTACATATATATTATGTTTTGCTGCATTGCACATTGTTTATGATAGTACATTATAGTATTTTTAACTAGTTCTGAAAACTTACAGTTTTAGTTAGATGTTTTAGTTACAGTGAGAGTTAATCCAAAGTTGTCTAAATTAGAGTAGAGAGTTTACTGTGATTCAGTAGTCTGGATTTTAAAAGTATGATTCATAAAAAAATTCTGCACATTGCAATAGCATAACAAATACCTACACAAAATAACATTGCTAGGAGGTAGATTGTATACACCATAAAATTTGTACTTACTTGGGTGAAGAACTTTTTGAGCTTTCGAATGACTTGCACAGAATGAACTGTACAATTTGAAGTGGTTAACATAATATAAGAAAGCGCTTCCGATTGAAAAAAGGACATTCTGAAAAAGAGGTTTCCAGTTAATTATATATAGGGTCATACATATTATAGCACTAGGTATTAAAGCTTAACATAGTTTTTTTTTAAATATCATTGATAGTTACAAAAAAGTATAAAACCCAAATATGGGAATGTTAAACTACTAACTTAAAACCAAGACAAAATTAAATTAATTCTGTTATATTTATTATTTTTAAGTTGAACCATTTGGTACCTTTGAAAAGGTTCAAAATTACTATAGTTAGTATGATGTGGATGATAACGGTAGTTGTTCAGATACATTAGCCTAATTATTATTTTTAGGATTACAATACATAAAAAAAACTAAGTTTTATATTCTTGAAATAATGTTTCTCTAGTTAAGCATGATTGGTATAATCTATGTTTCAACATGAACAATTGGCTTTACTGCTAATTCATAAAATTTCAAACTGATGCAACTGATACAACTTTGAGGAAAATCTTTAGCAATCAATTTCAAAAACTTGACTAAAAGGAAGGAAGAATAAAAAATCTAGATAAAATTGAGTGCTAATCACAAGTTAAATAAGTGACTGTGATCACAGGTGTTCTGCGATAGCAAGAGACGACCGCCGGTGTCGCCAAAACTGTAAGATATGTTTACAGCTATTGCTGCAAAAGAAAGCCAAAACCAGTAAAAAATACCTGTAAATATAAATTTCAGGTTTTTCTTCAATCAAATACAAATTTATTACACATTGTACAGTTTATTGTACATCATTTTTCCTGTTGATGACAGATTATCTAAAAAATTAGTTACAGTATCATATGAACACCCCAGTCCCCAATTAAGTAATCAACTCCGCACCGTACTAAAAATTGTCTACAATATATTGTTGAACTAGTTTACAGGTTGAATTTTTTTAGACAAAAAAATCTAGAAACAGATACATGCTTACACCATAGTGCCATAAGTATATAACTAATAGCAATTATTTCATTTTCTATATCAGGCGTAAAATTAATAATAATAATCTATCAAACTCATAATTTCATAAACATTGTAACTACTAGTAGAATCCCACCAACCGAAAAGTGGGAAATAGTGAAACCCTCCCATGAACAGTTGTTCTGGTTGGATCCAAACATACTAATGCTAAATGACAATAAATGATAATTATGATCATGATTAAATTAACACTAGCAGTCGTACTCGTGCTTCGCAACGGGAAGAGAACGCTAAAGAGAATAATTATGTTTCATAGATTTGCTGTAGATAAACTTTTAGTGATCCACTAAAAGTATTAACTGTCTACTCCGTTTCCCAAACATTTTTTGGGGAAATAAACCATACAAACACAACAGGTTTTTGTTAACAAATAGGAAAAAAGAAAGTCAATAAGTTACCAAAAAATAAGTTAATAATAAATAAAATAATTTATAATGGTTTAAATACCTGCATTCAGTAATCCAATATGCTGCTTGTGGCAACTATAGTTTCCGTTCACAGGGAACCATCTTCAGGCCGTACAAAGCGTCGTTATTCACTTCCATATATGAAGGTCGTCATTTAATAAATAAGTACATAGAACACGAACACACAAAAACGCACATTGACACGAACATTTAACATTAAAAATACCGAGTACTCGGGAACACGAGACAGGTGACGCGACCGGGTGGAAGTTGTAGCTCGAACTGGTGGTCAGTGGTCTAACGGTATGACGTCAGCCATTGTCTCCTTATCACTGCCGGCTCGCATTCATTCCTTCTCTCCTCCTCCCCCATCCAGTATTTTGATTGCGGTGTTATAAATGGAATTTGATTGGAATGAGAGTTTGTCATTTAAAACATTTTGACCATCTGTTTTGACTGCCTTGTATATTTCAAATTCTTCATAAGTGTTAATGGTTGATCGGTCTTGGGAAAGATGTAAAACGTCCATATTACTATTTATGTTTAAATAGTTGTGGTTGAGTGAAATTAAATGCTCTGCGAAATTTGAAGTTTGTGGTCCTGTAGTTTTCTTGGGGATATGTTCTCTGAACCTCTTCTTGAAAGAGCGTGAAGTCTGTCCGATGTAATATTTTGGGCAATCGCTACAGTTTAATTTGTAAACCCCAGACTTGTCATAAACAGTGGAATCCGTTTGTTGCCGCTCTTTATGACAAGTCTGGGGTTTACAAATTAAACTGTAGCGATTGCCCAAAATATTACATCGGACAGACTTCACGCTCTTTCAAGAAGAGGTTCAGAGAACATATCCCCAAGAAAACTACAGGACCACAAACTTCAAATTTCGCAGAGCATTTAATTTCACTCAACCACAACTATGTAAACATAAATAGTAATATGGACGTTTTACATCTTTCCCAAGACCGATCAACCATTAACACTTATGAAGAATTTGAAATATACAAGGCAGTCAAAACAGATGGTCAAAATGTTTTAAATGACAAACTCTCATTCCAATCGAATTCCATTTATAACACCGCAATCAAAATACTGGATGGGGGAGGAGGAGAGAAGGAATGAATGCGAGCCGGCAGTGATAAGGAGACAATGGCTGACGTCATACCGTTAGACCACTGACCACCAGTTCGAGCTACAACTTCCACCCGGTCGCGTCACCTGTCTCGTGTTCCCGAGTACTCGGTATTTTTAATGTTAAATGTTCGTGTCAATGTGCGTTTTCGTGTGTTCGTGTTCTATGTACTTATTTATTAAATGACGACCTTCATATATGGAAGTGAATAACGACGCTTTGTACGGCCTGAAGATGGTTCCCTGTGAACCGAAACTATGGTTGCCACAAGCAGCATATTGGATTACTGAATGCAGGTATTTAAACCATTATAAATATTCAAACGTAATCCGGAGGCTAACAACTCTTAAAAATGAAATAAAATAAGTTAATAAAAAATAAAATAAGTCAATAAGAACTATGCACTTAAAAGATAAAGCGCCTTATTCCCACAATATCAAAAAGTATTTATTAAATTAAAAACATAAACATAACACTGTAAAAAATCCAACTTCGACAATTTTCATTTTGTATCACAGCTTTTTGTTGCTGCTTGGTTCAAATTAGCTGTTGTCATCAATTTAAACCTACAAGTGCACCTGTTGCTCGAGCAATTGCAAAGTATTACAGGCGTTCAAAACTAATAACAGTCGTAATTTCTGATGAATTAAAAGAGTCAACTCAAAGATTATATAATCAATCACTCCACTCCAGTTATCGAAACTGGAAACGAACTCACTCTGAAAACGAAAGCAAAGTAGGCTATGTATCATGTGTTTACTATGAACAGCGGTAATTAACACAAATAATTTGTCTGTTTAAGTAAACAAAATCTTTTCTTCATAAGAAATACATTGGGATTTTGATGGCCTGTGGGGCAAATCCCGAGGACTGTTATTACAGGAATTGGTGAAAGGGGGTGTCTACACAAAAAATACTTAATTTTGACACATCGTTTGTAAAAATCCGTTCATTATTAACGGAGGAGTAGTGTTTCGTAGAAATCGCCTTCACGTATTATATGTAAGGATGTTGCTTGCTTTAAAATTGCATTTAGCATAATATTACTGGGAGATCTGACTTGTATAACACCACTCTAATATGTCAAAAATAAATTTTCCACTCACTTTGAATTGACTGGGATGATCAAACTTGTGAAAGTCTGGCTCCATCTCAAGAGCTTCTTCTAGATTTTGAAGGAACTGACGTTGGAATGAAACTATCTCTTGAATGTTCCCAAACAAGGCTCCAATCTCAGCATGAGACAAAAACGTTTCTTTCTTCAGAGGCTCCAAATAGTTTTCTAGGAGACTGTTTAGATGCTGGAACAAAACAAGTTGTTAATTGCAAAGAAAACCAATTAATATGTCAAATAGATAATACAATTTTCATTAAAATTTATCAGAATTATTTTTCCAGCTGATGGATATTGATTTAATAATTATTATTTACTAGCTGTGGGCCCGTCCTACAAAATAAATAGGTAACAAAAATACGGAGAAATGGTCTTTAGTAGATAATTCTCAAGGTCAGATTATATTCCAACTTACATTTGTAAAATTAAAACAAAATCTTTGTTATAACACTTATAACTGGTATTTGTTGCACATTTTTACCCAAAATAAATAAAAATAATAATTTATTCAAAAACTTGCTTTATAAAAAACAAAAATTGTGGGAGTAAATCCACTACCCCACTGTGAATATCTAGAAATATGAGGGACATATCCGCAACCCGTCTTAAAATATAGCAGAAGGTTAAAAACCAAGAATAAAATAGACTGTGTATTAATGGGATGGTATTTATTTAATTAGGAACATTTTATAATAAACATGAGTAATATCAATGAATACAAACTGTATTCATTGAAAAAACTAAAAGAAACTAAATGGTTATGGAGAAGTCAGACTGGAATTTTGCTGCCGAAATGACATTTGGGCAGCCGCTGCCACTATATATATATTTATATCTCTCTAAGCCAATTCTTTGTCTCACCCTCTCTCACTCAATCAGCTGACCTGGCCGCACGCTTGCGATAGTTTGCCTAGCGGCCGCTGCGGGAACTATCCAAAATTCAAATATTCCCATTCTGAATTTTTGACAAAGCCATTGGGTTTCTTATAGGTTTTGTATTTCATTGGTAATATTCTTTTCTTTTAGAAAGATGTTCACATAAAATAGTCCACGCAGAAAGGGTGATACGTCACGTTTAAGGTCAGAGCACTTCTGCATAAGGCAAGAAAATAGTGCTACATATAGTATTAAAAACCTGCTGGTTACTGTGCAAACACTAACTAACTAACTAGTCTGTCTACAGAGTTGGCAGAAATATCCGCTTCTCATCCACAACCATACGGATGTATCCCTCACCCCCCCAGGAACAGTTAAGTAATTGAAGATCTTATTACCTCAGTAATAAGTTACATTACATCTGAGGTATTTTATTAGAATTTTACTACTAACCTTTACATAAGTACGTTCTGTATCAATTAGCTCAAGAATGACTTTGCGCAGTTTCTCTGCATCTGTGAGTTGACGGCTGGGCGTAAGCAGAGCTTGGGATGTTGTACTAACGACGCTTCCTGTTGGGCTTGACTTACGAGTCTCCCCAGGCGAGCGACAGAAACCTGTCACTTGTTCTGCAGTCTAGAAATGATAAGGAAAAATTATATTTGATGAATGTGTTCAATAGACAATAGACAATAGACAAAATCTTTATTGAAATATTCTTAGAGAACATTCATGCGTCAGGTACATAAAATGTACAGTATGTACGTAAACTATTACAGTAATTTGCAATTACAATTAGAATTTTTTTCTTCTTTTTCTTCTTTTTTTCATGGTAGCTTATTGTTTAAGAATTCATCCTCAGAGTAGAACGGCCGGTCTATAAGCCATGTTGTCAGGTGCTTCTTGAGCAGATTGGGTTGTTCTCTCTTGAGGTGCTCTGGTAGGTTGTTAAAGTACAGAGCACCTTTGTAGGATGGTTTCTTCTCGTACAGACTCAGATGGTGTTGTGGGAGGGAAAAATTGGCGGCATGTCGTGTGTTGTGCTGGTGTATGTCTCTGTGTCTTGGCTGGGCTGTTTTAGTGGTGTGGATAATGACTTCTCTTATGTAGAGTGAAATTGATGTGAGAATTTTAAGGTTCTTGAAGGCTTCTCGGCAACTGTCTCTGTAGTTCAGGTCGGCAAGGCATCTAATTGCTCTTTTTTGCTTTAGGAGTACTCTTTCCAGGTTGCCTTTTGATGTTCCACCCCAAGTCGCAATGCCATATCTGAGGTGGGACTCGAATAGAGCAAAATATGCAACTTTGGCTACTTCTGGGCTGCAAGCTTGCTTGATCCTACGTATAACGTAGAGACTTGAACTTAGCTTTTTGCAGAGCTGGTCTATGTGGGGTTTCCATGATAGCTTGGAGTCAATTATGATGCCTAGGTATTTTGTGGTGTTTTGTGTTTGTAGTCCCGGTATTGTAATGTCTGTGTTGTTGCGTTTGGTGGTGAAAGTCATTTGAACGGTTTTGCTTTCGTTTAGAACTAGGTCGTTGGAGGTACAGTATTGCTTTGTTCTCTGGAGTTGTGTGTTGGTTTTCTCTTCCAGATTTTCCATTGTTTTGTCCGCAAATGTGAGAACTGTGTCATCTGCGTACATGGTGGTGTGTCCATCTTCCCCAATCCAACTAGGTAGGTCATTCGTGAGAAGGAGGAAAAGGACTGGGCCAAGTACTGATCCTTGGGGTACTCCTCTTTGCACGTCTACAGCTTTGGATTGGGCCTTATACTTAGTGTTGTTCTTTATGTAGGCTATTTCCACAAGCTGTTTCCGGTTACTAATGTAGCTTTTAAACCATTCTGCTGCTCTTCCTCTCACGCCTAGTGTTTCCAGCTTGAGTAGAAGAAGTTCGTGGTTTAGGCAGTCGAAAGCTTTACTAAAATCTAGGAAGAGGCTTGTTGAAGTGCTGCCTTCTTCTAGTTGGTCTAGTATGTGCTCCGTCAGTTGTATTAAGGCTGTGGCTGTCGATCTACCTTTGATAAATCCATGCTGTTGACTATTGAGAAGGTTGTGTTCTTGAAGATGGTGTAGGAGTTGGGCTAGTACTATCTTTTCGATTATTTTTGAAAATGTTGATATTAGGGAGATTGGCCTGTAGCTGTTTCTTTCTATCGTTGGTCCATTTTTGTATTTTGGGTAGACTTTAGCTATTTTTAATTTATCTGGGAATTTTCCTTGTGAGAGTGATTTATTTATGAGGTCTGTCAGGGGTATTACTATTTCATTTTTACAGTTTTTTAGAAGTTTAGCTGATACCTCATCAGTTCCGGATGAATTTTTCATCTTTAGAGATTGAATGGCCTTTTGCACTTCTTCTTGTGTGACCCGTCTGAACTGGAGTGTGTGATGTGTTGCTGGTGAGTGGTCTGTTAAGGCATTGGTTCTAGAGTTATTGTTATTTTGGAGTGTTCGGTCGGCTATTGATGAGAAAAAATCATTAAAACAGTTTGAAACTTCTATTGGGTCGTCTATTGTTTTATTGTTGACTTGAAGATGGATTTGGTTTTCAGTATTTGATCTCGCTTCCCTTTCTCGGTTTATTGTTTGCCACAGTGCTTTGGACTTGTTTTCAGCCTGGTTTATGTGAGCTGTGTTGTTTTCTTTACGAAGCATTTTCAAATGCTGGTCGTACTCCCTTTTTTTAATAGTTGTTCTGGCTTTGTCTTCCATAAGTCCGGTTGTTTGCTCCTTTTCTAAGGCCTTTATATATTCATTTTTAAGTCTAGCCGATTCTTGATTCCAACACTGTCTCCTTTTATGTTGTTTAACTCTTGACGTTTTAAGAGGGCAGGCGTGGTTTAGTGTTGTCTGGATGATGTTGCTGAAATTGTTGTAGGCTTCATCTACGTCATGAGTTTGTATTATAGTTTCCCAGTCTTGTTCTTGTAGCTGTGTCTTAAAGTTATCTATTGTTGTTCTGTTGAAGATTCGTTTATTTTCTTTGATGTTGTTGATGATCGGTTTTCTAGTGATGATTTTTGCGATTTGTGCGGTATGGTCAGATAGTCCTGATGTTATAACTGAGGTTTCTATTTGTTGATTATCAATGTTTGAGCATATCCAGTCTATTGATGTTTCTGAGTCACTTGTAATTCGAGTGGGAGGTAGCCTCAGTCTTGAGATATTGAAGGAGGTTAGGAGTTCTTCAATTTTTTCGTTTTCATTGTCATCAACTAGGTTGTTTACATTGATGTCTCCCATTATTAATATTTGCTTATCCGTAGTGAGCACTGCTTCCAGTTGTTCAGAGAGTATATCGATGGCTTGGTCTAGGTTTGCACTTGGTGGCCTGTATACTCCGAGGACCAGCAGTGGATTCCTGTTTAGCTTCAGTTCAAAGAGCACAGTTTCGCAAATTAGTTCTGTTTCCTCGCTACTTGTGCATATGAGTGATACATGCTTTTCCCAGCCACTTCTTACATAAGCGACCACTCCTCCTTTGACATGGGATTTCCTCAGGGTGTCTAGTTTATTTCCATTATAAAATTCAAGACTAATTCCAGACTTTTCAAGACTAATTCCAGATTTTTCAAGACTAGTTTTTTCAACAATTAGTGCGTGTTGATACCAAAATGTATCGATTCTCGATTCTTGATACCGATACCAATTGTTATAGCTTAACAAAATTTTCTGAATAATTCTACACCAACCCCTGTCTTTGTCATAAAGTAGTATTATGATAATGTGGTGTTTTCAAGTAAAGAAATAATGCAGCAATAAAAAATTCTAACTAGGAAATTTTTTTCATGAAATCTTCCACGTACCGTACGTTTAGACATCATCATTGACTGCAGCGGTTACATAAACGTGATCGTCGTCGTCCGCGATCACGGCAAAATCATGAACATTTCCCGCGGCCTTGTAGACATCAATGACATCATCGTCGTCTCCCGCTGTCTCAGAAACGTCATCGTCCGCAATCGCGGCAAAATCATGAACATTTCCCGCGGCCGTGTAACATCATCGTCGTCTCCCGCGGTCACGGAAACGTCATCGTCATCTCCCGCGGTCACGGAAACGTCATCGTCATCTCCCGCGGTCACGGAATCGTCATCGTCGTCTCCCGCGGTCACGGAAACGTCATCCTTATCTCCCGCGGTCACGGAAACGTCATCGTCATCTCCCGCGATCGCGATAAAATCATGAACATTTCCCGCGGCCGAGCAGATATCATCGTCGTCTCCCGCAGTCACGGAAACATAATCGTCATCTCCCGCGGTCACGGAAACGTGATCGTCGTCGTCCGCGATCGCGGCAAAATCATGAACATTTCCCGCAGCCGTGTAGACATCATCGTCGTCTCCCGCGGTCACGGAAACGTCATCGTTATCTCCTGCGGTCACGGAAACGTCATCGTTATCTCCTGCGGTCACGGAAACGTCATCGTCGTCGTCCGCGATCGTGACAAAATCATGAACATTTCCCGCGGCCTCACCCGCGATCGCGGCAAAATCATGAACATTTCCCGCGGCTGTTCAGACATCACCGTCATCTCCCGCGGTCACGGAAATGTTATCGTCATCGTCCGCGATCACGGCAAAATTATGAACATTTCCCGCGGCCGTGTAGACATCATCGTCATCTCCCGCGGTCACGGAAACGTCATCGTCATCTCCCGCGGTCACGGAAACGTCATCGTCATCTCCCGCGTTCACGGACACGTCATCGTCATCTCCCGCGGTCACGGAAACGTCATCGTCGTCGTCCGCGATCGTGACAAAATCATGAACATTTCCCGCGGCCGAGCAGATATCATCGTCGTCTCCCGCGGTCACGGAAACGTCATCGTCGTCTAACGCGGTCACGTAAACGCAAGACGACGATCGCGGCAAAATCATGAAAATTCCCGACTTTGAAATCAAATTTAAGACTAAATCCCGACTTTCAAGACCATTTTGAAATTCAATACTAATTCCCGACTTTCCCGATTTTCCCGACTACTAGACACCCTGTTTCCTTGAGAAGCCTCCAATAAGTGAGTAATTTTCTACCCACGTGTTTTGCAAGTTTTGTTGTGCTACGCCGTGCTCTGTTATTATGATCAGGTCCGGGTCTTCATCTTGGAGGAAGTGTGCTAGTCTATCAGTTTTTTTAGATAACCAATTTATGTTTTGGTGTAGAATTTTAAGTCCTTGTTGGCTATTAGGTGTTTGGAATTTTACTGTACGGAGTGTCGGAGGGGATGTGTTACATCTTTGAGCTGGTTTTTGTGCTTTTCTCTGGGATGAGGGTGTTCTTCTAAAAAATGATGTTGGGAGGTGGGAGTGTTTAGGGGTACTTGTGTGCAACTTTGGTTTTTGTTAGTTTGTAGTGTGTTTTTATACTTTGGGAGGGGTGGTTCTGCGATTTTCTCAATGTTGATGTGGTATTTGGAAAGTTCCTGGGAGCTAAGCAAGTTTGCTTGTTGTATCCAACGGCCTAGTTTATCATTACTGCTGGGTGTTATGTAAAGGAATGAGTGTGTGTGCCTTGAGATAGCAACGATGCAGTGGTGCTGCGATTCATAAATTTCTTCTCTTTTAGCAGATGTTCGTATGACAGCTATGTTTTCTGCTTGCCGTCCTTGAAATTCATGTATCGTAGATGCGTTGAAACCTAGCTTGTTTAGTTCTCTTTTCTCAGCTTGTTTGAAGACCAAGCATTTGTATTTATTTTTGTTGAGAGTGAGGTTCAGGCTTTCTAGTCCCTGATACTGCTGTGTCGCCAGTTCTTTCTCTGTCTGGTTGGTGGTTTGCATTCCTTGGCTGTAGAATTTTGAGAGGATGGCTGTGGTGCTCTTTGTGCATCTGTATGTGGTGTTTAGTATTTTTGTTGTTGTGGCTATTTCTGTAATGTTGTGGTATTTAACTTCTAGGTTCTCTGCTCTGTTTATATATGGTATTTGGTTAATGTCGCCAATAAGCAATACTTCTTTAGCAGTTGATAAAATGGCTGCAAAGAGTATTTCTCCGGCATGCATCATTAGGGCTTCGTCAATGAAGAGCCTGTTATAGGTGTTTCCTCTCTTAAGATGTTGGGTGGAGTTTATTATGAATGAATGCACGGTTCGGAAGGTGTCATTGCATTTTGCCTGGCTATGGTCTGGGTGGTTGGTTTTGTATCTCTGTCGGAAGTCCATTGCCGCATCTCTTGTAGGAAACAGGATGAGGTCCCCTGTAGCATAGTTGTTGAGTAGGAAAGTTGTTTTCCCACATCCTGGCACACCTTGGACTAAGTTCAGTTTAGTGTTGTATGAGTTTTTAATGTCAATGTGTTTTGTGCTATTATAGAGATGTAGTTCGTTTAGGAGTATTGTCTCGTCTGATACTAAGATGTTTTGATTAATTGCTATGTTGTTTGGGGCAGTTGCATAATTTCCATTACCTTTCCTCAGTAGTTGCACTAGACGTGCTCCATCGAAACCGAATTGGTAAGGTGTTGGGTGTGTTGTTTCTTGTTGGGTGAGGAAGTTTCCAGTGTTCAGGTTTATGATGGCGTATTTGTTTTTGGTTCTATTGCAGAAGTCTTGGAGTTTAGGGTCGTCTTTTTGGAGGCTGCTTATATTGTACTCCTTGTATATGGTGTTAAGGTGGTGTAGCAACATCGATTCCTTTGACTTCCAAAGTTCTCTTTGCTCAAGCATCGCTGCTTGAGCGAAGCTTTCCTCACTGTTGGATGGTAGACATGGAGGTTGATAGGTGTTAATTCCTGTGTACGTTCCCCGAGTTGTTCTCCAAGTACTGTAGTACGAGGTTTTTTCTTTTCCTGGGAATATTTTTGCTATTTTCCTTTGTACCCTATCTGTAGTGTGGTCAATGAGATCATCAATAATTTTTTTGTAGTCTTTTGTTTGTGTATAAATCCGGAAACGATGTAGGTAGGCATTACATGAATATTGTAGTAGTATTTGTATTATTTCTCTGATGTGTAGTTTGCTGAGGCTGGCAGTTTCTATGAATTCTTCGAGTCTGATAGAGAAAAGTACTGGGAATTTTATACAATCGTTTGCCAATTCAAGGAACCGGAACAGTTTCCTCTTCCAATTGCCATTTATTCCTGTTGAGCATATGACAATGTGAGTGTTGTCCTCGTTGTCTTGAGCTGTAATAAAGTTGTTAAAGGATAGGTTTCTATTTTGTAGTCTCCTGATTATAGTAGGTCTAGCTTCGGGTGGCAGTGTTTTGTATTCAGTCACAAAGAGTGGGAAGGACAATTACCTTACATACTAAAAATGAATTTGTCAGCAGATTCTGAATAAGGAAATCAAAACTTGCTTATTGCCAATGTAAACTTATCGTCAAGCTTTACTTATTGTATGATTATTGTTTAAAGGGACTTTTTTGGGTTGACAGCTTTTTTAAAAAAATTGTGTACTTAAAGAATGAACTGTACTGATAAGTGGTAGCCCCTGGACGAGAATCCATTGCTACCAACTCATTAATTTTCCTTAAAAGAAAAAGTGAAGCAACACTAGACGAATTGTGAATAATTTACTTAAATACCTGTATCTCATGTCTAACTTTATTTTCGTTTAATTTGTTTTAAATGTCATCTTAGAGAAAACATTTTTCATATTTGGATCGCAGTGTCTCATTTATTTTAAGAACCTTGTGGCTACACTGAGTTCTACTGTATCAGATTTCAATACAAACCTTTAAAAGATTCTCAATTTCGAAAGAGTTAGCTCTAGAAGTTTGTTTGGTGCTGGTTCCATCACTAGAAGTTGCAGGTGGGTTTTCAGTCTCTGGAGAATATAGTTCTTTACCTGAAAATTGACAAACACTTAAGTAAGAGTAACTAAAGTTATTACAATTGCAAATTGACAGTATGATATCTTATTTTTAATGTTTATTTTTAAACCAATACAGAAATAAGAAAGTTTTACAAGTTTTTCTCTAAAGTTTTTTAAGAAAACGTAATAATTATGCACCTAACAATATTTTACATTTCATGAGCATGTATTACACCAAAATTGTTGTTATAGGCCTAATTTAAAACTCTTGTATTTGATAGTCTGATAGAATATGAAAGAAGCTAAACACCAATATTTCTTTTGAAGCAATGAAAAACACTGACCAACAAAGAGGTTATTGATTTGTTTAAATAATCAAATAAAAAATCTTTATTCATATCTCTGTAAATACATAATTACATGAATAGTGTCAAACAAGTATAGGCTACACTAAGTTATGTTTTTTATATGTATTTAAAAGATAAAGCTATCGGTATTTAATACAGAGCAATTTTGCAAATTATAATTAGTTAAGAATACAAAAATACATGATATATGCCTAACAAATCTGAATCGACTAAGCCCTCCAGCAAGACTTATAGCAATAGTATTTCCTTTTTGATGTTTCCACTTACTCCAGCCAGGTGCAGGTACTATCAGCCCAGAGATCATCTCTTCGCTGATGACAGGGGGATCGGAGGGGGGAGGGGGGCAGACTAGACTCTCTATCTCTATGTCTGTAGATCGTAATATCCCCGGGGCCAGGTCTGGTGGTTCAGTCCGAGACGACCTCATCATCATACACAGAGATAACTCCTCCTGTAGCACCGACTCTAGGTACATCATGTCCAGGTCACTCACGATGGCTCCGTTGATCACCATGATCTCGTCTCCTTTGATGATTCCTGCAAAGTTCATCAAGTTTAAATAAACTTATGCCTTCAGATGTTTGTTGAGTTACAGAACTTGTCAGAATCAATAATCAATAAATAAAGTACCTCCTCAGTTTTTTAAATTCGGCTGTAAGAGGTTTTGCTCTTAGTATGAAAAGGCTTTCTAGTTCTACTGTCATTACATTGAAATCCTACGATTGAAAATAAACTTATTGTTTGTAACTTATTGTATTGTTACGGTATTTTATAGTTATAGATTTTGTGATCTGTATAGGTATATACTAAATACTTTAAATGCAAGCATTTTCATTAGAGGAATCAGATATTTAAAGAATATTATTCCTAAAGTAAGGTAACCAAGAATATCTGAGGTTAGTTCAGTACTTTATCGTTAGTTAATAATTTGTATAATTAACAAAAATGCTTATCAAGGAAATGTTGATAAAAGCTTAAAGTAAAGCCTTTATGTTGATAAAGTTTAGCCTTTCATTGAATAATTTTTACTAATAGTCGTTATAAGAAGTTTCACTTACCGTTATGCATAGCGACACTCTTATCCTCCACCCGGCTGACGTAACAACACAACTCGTCCTGTCTGTCTGCATTCTCTATCAACTCAGCTTCAACAGAAAAGCCCCACATATGTTCCAGGGTCGTCCTCTGCAGCTCAACTTGGTACAAGATTTTCGCACAAACTTCTACTATTTCATGGGTATGAATCTGAAAATTAACGATTTAAGATGAACTTTTTGTACAAGGTTGATTGGAAAGTGCTTATGCCTTAGAGTTGACTCTCAATATTGAGAAAGGTCTCTTTTCTGTTTCCTTTTGTGCACTTAAGTGAAGTGGTATGACTATAATTTTTGAAGGAAAGTCTGAAAATGTTTTTTTTTATTCATTATGTTAGGATAGTACAAACACTTATTTTTAATTTTGTTGTTGTTCAGCTGTGAGGTGACCAGAGAAATAGGGGGAGTGCCAAACATTTTGCTTGAGAGAGAATTTGTTGAAACAATAGGCTAAGAACCACACAAAATAAACTGCAGAACATCATAAAAGGGTCCTTGGTTCATTTAAAATTGAGAATTCAAAATGTAATAAGAATTGAGGAAGTAACCCTTTATTGAATAAACAAGAATGGAAGAGGCTTTTCAGCACATTTTGAAAACTGGTGACGCTTAACGCTTTTCCCCTCATGAGTGTGGGACTTTTACAGTTTTACATAGAAGTCATGGTATAATTGCTTTTTTGTGTGATAATGATGGCCTAAATTACTAGCTAAATTAATGATTTTTTTTCCTGAAGTGTAGAATACATGAGTGGAGTTTTTCAGTTAAGTCATATGGGATAAGCTAGAATAGGAATATTCTGCAAATACAGTATATATTTAATGCCACAATACAGGGCTTACTGTCATATCTCCAAAGTAAAAATACCTACTAGTATACTACTGTACTACCTAGTCCTAAACTGACATTAAAACAAAAATACAGCGTTTTTATTTTCAAGAACCTTTGCAGGTCACATCTGCATGTGAGGTTCCAAGTCTAATCCCTTGGTCAGATGACAGATACAAAAATTATAGTATTGTTTTTGTTTAACGTTTTAGCAGACTATTAAGTGTATTTCAGAAATCTGAATCTTGAACGTCTGTCTGACGGAATAATGTAATTTATCTAATATATGGATTATTGGTTTCATATCAATGACCTTAAACACATAGGTACTGGTAAGCATTCTCAAAACTCTCTCTGTATCAAGAAAAGTTTTTGAAATTTTAAACTTAATAAAATTCCAATAAATGCTTTAAAATAAAGCAAGCACTCCCCTAAACAAAATACCCCGCCGCAGCAAACCTGCAGACTTAGCGAATTTCCATTTGCCTGATTAGATTTAAACTAAAATGTCTCCTTAAAAATATCACACTTATTCCCTATTTAAACAGAATTAGTTTAGTGAGTACTTAGGTTTGCTGCAACAGGGAGGGTAAAAATTTTTTTTTAATGTAAAATGTTAAAAAGTACTGTGGTTTAGTACAAAATGTATTTTCCAAATTTGATCAAAATATGTTCATAAACAAGCAAACTACAACAGTTGACTTATTCTCCATAAGAATAACATGGGAATTTAAAATTACAATTTTTTTGAATTTTCTCCGTAACAGTTAGGCGCATTATAACGCTTCAATATACTAAATTATTTGTTTTTTTAAGCTCTACAAAATGGTTTAAAAAGAAATTGTGAAATTTTGTGTTTTTATGGTCAAAAATGGGAAAAACCTATTTTTACCCCATAAAACCCCCCATAAACACCCGTTCCCATAGTCCGATCATGCTGGTTCGCGAACTCATTCAAATTTATCCCGCCTTACACCTTTAAACCAAATTTTATGAAAATCGGACAAAAATTACTCAAGTTATCGTGCGGATGGACATATATATATATATATATATAGATATATAAAAATTTGAACGAATGGTGTTTTTGGCCTCTGGGGACATCAAAATGAAAAAGTAAATCGGTCCCGGGCTTAGGTCTTACCATGAGACCTACGGTAATAGCTACTTCCCTATAGCTATTCGCTAAAAAAAACAAAGTTAGTCAAAGATCTTTTGAAATAAAAAGGTTAAAATAGTGCCAATGAACAGTTTTTGTCTAACGACCAAGGTATCCTAAAGGAGTGTTCTCGTATTACTTACAACTTAAAACACTTAAAACTAAAATTCAACATCTTAGAATGAAATTGAATATTTTAACGCTACAGTCCAGGACCACATCAGTTTGTTGTGCTAAAACAGTTCTAAGTCAATTAAATTCTTCATATAAAGTACTTACGTATGTTTCTATAAGATCAGTGCGGTGTGGTACAAAGTAATTGTGATCGTCCATATCTCGTCGTTTCTTCACTCTGACAAAATGCTCCATTGGATTCAGATTTTTCCTGCTGCAAGCGCTCGCTAGAAATTCTTCCACTGACATCGCTTCTCGCAGGAAGACATGAACAAACTGGAGAAAACAAAGTTATGTAAAATACAATTTAAGATCAAAACAAGATAATTAATTGTCTTCTTGTTCAACAGCCAGTACTAGACGTCTGGAAAACTGAAAATAGAAGAGGGATTGACATTTAATCCTTATATATTTTATACAAAACGTGACATTTTTTAATGTATCTTTTCTGATTAGATTTTCAAAGATATTACTGCAGATGTTCGATGAAAGTAGGTAAACCGAAATTGTAGAATCTGGCTTTTTCTTCAGGGGGGACTAATAAGAATCTTAAATTTTAAGAATCTTGTCTATAGATGATCCCTAATACCAGATTTTAAAACATAAAAAAGAACTAATATATTTTTCAAATGTGGTAAAAAATTACGACTAACTATGGTAGTGGTTATAATTACTGTAAAATAAAAAAATAATATCATTTACAAGGGTTATTTCAACACATTTTATAATTGTTTAAATGTTACTATATTTGGTTAAGCTTAGGTTAAATTTGGTTAGCACATAGTTAAAGATATACAATATAGTTATCATGCAACAATTTTGAGCAAAAATATACTTAATTCCTACAACTATTAGAACTTAACATTGTTCCTTTTTATTATATTCCATTGTTGTTCATAAAAAAGGAAATATCAAAATATCATAGTATTCATGCATATTACAAGAATGAGTACTGTTTCATTCTTGACTGGCTTTGAAAATTAATAAACATGCACGTTTCAAATTACAACATCGTATCAGAGTTGAAAGACAATTTTTATAACCAAGCAAATACAATGCAACAACTACTATAAGTAAGATTCAGAGAAAACTACAGAAGAGCCTAGCATCAGCATGAAACATTTTACATTTAACGCCAATCTTGAACAGTCACCACAACATTATTTATGGAATTGACATTGGGTGGATATTATATCTAAGCTTATTCAATATAACAGCATGACTGTAATTAAATGTAATTAAATTACATAATATCAGTCCTATAGGTAGTATCTGTGAGGAGTCAAGGTTATTATCAAAATAAACTAAAATCAAAAGTATCAAGTTGAGAAATGGTTTTGAAAAACCTGAACGCTTTCAAAGAAGTCCGCTGCCGAGATGGGACTTTCAAAAAACGTCGAGTGAAGTCGGATCTTGAGCTCAGATCCTGTAGGAAACAGACATCATTATAATGTTAAGTATTAATCTTTAAGTGTTAAACCAAACACCGGTCTCAGAAGTTAAAAAGCTCATAGATTAAAATTGTGAATGGAAGTAAATAAGTGCTTCAACTTGATAAACATTGTGAAATTATCAATGAACAAATGATAAATGAAGGAATTGATTAAAAATGCAGCATTAGCACAGATGACAATCAATTATTTAAAAAGTGTGAATTCTCTTACTCATACATTATATCAAAAAATTAAAATATAAAAAAAAACACTTAAGAAGAATATGATAAGTACAAAATTAACTGTTTTTACCTTTTATTTTTTTCTATCTTTTGATAAATCAATATCAACAACCAATACATGGAATAATGAAATAATAAAATCTTATTAAATAAAAGTAATCTGTAACACGTTTAAAAAATATCTGTTACCAAACAAAAATGTATGTGTTAAAAAAAAAAATTCTTTCACCATATTCTTGTCTTGTAAGTTAATTATTATAGCTAAATAACAAATGAGTGATTAACAGCCATACATTTTTAAAAAAGTGTTTAAATGCAGTCAATTTTGCTGTTTGATGAACAAAACAAAACACTACACTTACTCAAATTTCTGTTGCTAAATAGAAAGGCAAATACATGATTTGATCAAATTCTACGTCAAAAGCTTTCAAGTAGTCACACTATTTGAATCCTATTACACAACACTATGAAAGTAAGAAACACTCAGGCTAAAAGTGTGTTGTAATCCCCCTTTCTGAACAAAATTCCATCAAGAAGAAAGATACAATATCCACCCGAAGTCAGTGGCCGAAGTCATGATCATGCACACATTCTCGACAGCACAGTGCAACCCTACGCTGTTGAACGTGGTTTGTGGTACGATACAGCATGTTTAACTTTATCAAGAGGGGCAGTTAGAGAAAGTATTGACTCACCTCTCAGAGGCTGTGTACTGTGTAGTCCGTCGCAAACTCTTCACCTCACTACAGATATGCCCCATCTTGAATGAGTCTTTAGGTAGATAAACTAAACACACTGGGAGTCCACAAACCATGTTCAAAAAGAGGGTTCACTGTTTTGTACACGTTAATTGTAACAAAAAACTAGAAAAATATCTGTTCTTTTTGAGGCGTTTAAACATCGATACTGTCGTGGTCTTCCATAGCCCAAGCTGACCGCGCAAGGTAATACTCCATAACTGAGCTAGGTCTTCGCTTTAAATATAAAACATTCATTAGTGAAATATGTACAAGCACACACATCAGCACAAAAAGATCATCAACACATATGCAAAAACAACTGATTTGACTGTGGCAAAAATTTTAATTAGCTGTGAAATGATGTTAACATTTGAAAAATGTTGAGGTACTTTAACACCAATTAGGCTCACAGCTTGAGAGGTCTCAGTTGATTCTGAACACTATCATCAATTTATGATCTCAACATTTGATAGGAACTGGGTCTTCAAGAATTAGGCAGACATGAGTATTTTGAAATTCTGACGCAGATATAGGAAAAAAAATCATATTAATCATTAATAATGTAAGAAAAGAAAAATGGTAACCTTTTCTTAAGCTGCACAGTTTCATATTCAACAACAAAACATTTTCACGCTAATTCCTTGACATTATAGTTAAACATTTCTTTTTCTTTTTCATATTTGAAATTTGACTAGGGTGGATCACCAATACCTACCAAATGTCATTCTACCTCCATTAGAAACAGTCTAGATCTTTGTATCAGTGAAAAGGGTTTAAGGTTGTCTTTTTTTTTACTGAATTAACTGTATTCAAAACAACAGTAAAAGATCAAATCAAGGTAAAATTATGTCAAGAGATGTAAAGAAGCATAACCAAAAAGAAAATAAACAAAGAAATTGCGTTAACACAATATGAAAATAATTACTTGATTTTCTGGTACTGAGACTTTGACAGTCTTCTCGGACTCGTCGCGAGAGTTCATTTGTAGTGAGCGACGACTTGAGCCGGAGTTGGATCGAGACAACATCGGAGGACGTCGCTTGGTCGCCCCGCGGCCAGCGAGCAGGTTGTTGAGCAATGAGGGCGAACGGGCACATATGAAAGCGTGGAATGACGACACAGTGAATACGCCAAGTTTGTTCAGGGTGTTTTTCGTGGCTCTGGACACGTGTGTCAGTAAGCTCTGGAAACATGAAATCAATAGTAGATATTATGAAGCATGCAGTATTGTTCTTAAGTGTAAAATGAAGATACAAAATGTGTTTTACGAGAAACTCAATGCTTATTTAGAGCTTAAGCAACAAAATATATTGTGAAAAAGAACGCACTTTAAATTAATCTTCAAAGCTAATTTGTCTCCTAATTATATGCTCCTAAAGAATAAAACAACTTTTAACAACATACAGCTGATTCAAACAAGGCCACATTAAAAAAACATGCCGTAATGCTCGTCAAGCATGACATCACGATAGAAGATGGCAATGATGTAGGTGTTTATTTATTTATTTTTTCAAGGAAAGATTAAAACTAGCAGCTGATCACAAACGGCAAACATTGTGTCATTGCCGTCTGCTTCTATCGTGACACGTCATGCTTGATGAGCATTACGGCCTGTTTTTTTAGTGTGGCTTTATTCAAATCATTAAATGAAACCATAGCAGTTCATCACAGTTTGTTAATAGACAAACTTGAAAATATGGAATAAAAACAAGGAATTATAGTTCGGCCGCTTAGAAAACGACCTGCGCGCTAATGCTAAACCAATGCTGGAGGAGGTCGCTTTCTAAGCGGCCGAACTATAAATTGGTTTTCTACATACTTTAGGGATAGATATCAAAGGACTAAAATTATCAAATTTGGACATACTATAAAATATAAATTCTAATTGGGAAAAAGTTAAAGTAGGGGTGTTTCAGGGATCAATATTGGGCCCGTCTATTTCTTATTTATGTAAATGACCTACCAAACGTGTCAAAGATGGATATATTTCAATTTGCTGATGACACAATGCTGTTATGTAAGGGACCCAATGTTGAATCCCTGCAGCACACAGTAGATACAGAATTGGCCGCTTTAAGTGACTGGTTTAGAGTAGTTAATTTTTTGGTGGGACTCAAGTAGTTAATTTTCGATCAGGCCATAGAAATAGTTTTAAACAGGCCACTTTTACAAATCATCAGTTAATGTCTGAGGAGACAGTAAATTTTTTGGGTATTCATATAAACGAAAATCTTGACTGGCTTCCTCACATTGATAAACTATTTCAGCAATATTTTCTCTCAAAACAATTTCTCAAGTTACAGATACTATAACTCAATTAACAGTTTATCATTCATATTTTTCATCTTTAATGTCATACGGAATACTTGTCTGGGGAAATTCTTGCCATGGTGAGAAGAGATTTAGGCTTAAAAAGAAGGCACATAGAATCATAGCTAAAGTACCCCGAAGAAGTCCATGCAAAATCATCTTTCAGGCTTTTAGTGTTTTGACATTTTATGACCTGTATATTTTAGAAACATTATTTTGGGTATTCAAAAATTTGTCCATTTTTAGGGAGGGTCACACAAACCATAGGTATAACACTAGACATAAGAACCTAATTAAGCCCACTAGCCAAAGATTATCACTATTTGAAGCATCACTTAAAAAAAGGAGAACTAATCAAGATCGAGGGAAAGTGTATTTAGACCGAGATAAAATCTGCTAATTGATTTTCCCTCGCCCTAAATTAGGAGCTTGGGAAAGACTACTTTCATTGATGTCAGCTGTTATCGAAAATAGTTACTTTTGTTACAGAGTGTTGAAAAAAATATAACTGTACTAGTGCAGCCTTGCAAATATGTTACTGCAGTAAACCATTACAAAAACTGTGTTAAAAACTAAAGCTGTGCTGAACTAAGACTTAAATAAGGTTTTTAGGTTCTTCTCAGAACTGTACCCAATGACAAAAGTGGCTTGGAGAACTCTATTGTGCACATACTCCCCAGCTGCTTAACAGGTACTTGAAAGGGTAATTATAGTTAGTTCTCTGCTAGATGTGATCTTATTCCACGCTACAAAACAGCCCCATTTTTATAACCTTTAAAACCGTTATGCATACCACCAATTACTACTCTGTTGTTTAAATAACACAAGAAGTTATTTCTATATTTTCTGGATATATGTTTGATGAATTCGAGTTGTGTAATCTTATCAGCCTATTAATTATAGATACATAGCCTCTCCCAGCAATTCGCTAATTGGAATTCTATCTCCAGGATAGGAAAGAATATTGTAAATTGAATTTTAAGCTCTGCTGGTATTAGAAAATTTCATTTTTCAGGAAGAGGCAAAGGTACCTGGAATATAGCAGGAATTAGGACTTTGCTAAGGTAGTCTTCCTTTAATTGAAGAATTCAGTATTAAAAAGACATGTTAATAATAATAACATGGCTAAATTTAAAGAGTTAATTTTGAACAGGGTGCTTTTGATTTTATGTGGCACCTTATTAACATTGCTCAGAGATTATGATCAAATATGATAGGATAGGCCACACAGCCACCTAAGGTAGTTTATTTAGCAACATTCTTAAGAATGTGTGAATTGTATTTTTCGCTCCAAATGAATAACTACATTGCAGGGCACTGTATGCATAGCCTCCTCTTATTCGTCACACTGGCCAGTCTGTAGCGATGGTAATCACAGTAATAACAAACGTGTAAACATAAACATAGTGCAGACTCTTCTTATTAGTGTAACAGTTGTTTTGGTCTGCCAGGACAGAGGTGTTTCTACTTTTATCACAAAGTCACATTGTATTGGAAAAGGCTAAAGCATGTCATTAATTAAGTTCATTAAATGCATTATTAGTACATTATGAAAATAAATTCACCTTAGGGTTGGGAAGCTCGCCGTTCTGAAGACTAGCCATGTAACACCGTAACCGGAACTGTTCACAATGTAACCGTTCTAGGTTCTCCTCCCACTGAACAATCTGAGAGTTTATCTGCTGTTTGGTATCCGGGTCTGACACCACGCTCTGCTGCAGATCTGCCATGTGCTTCAGCTTGTGATCCTAAAACAGTCGAGTAACATCTTAGTAACAGGTTACAAGACAAGACCTCAAAGCTAAGATTTGTTTCCCCCACTTTTCTTTTTGTCTTGAGAATTGTCATTGTTTTGTAGCAAGGTAAAAAGGTAGAAAACGTTCATCATTTGGTAAAAAAATATCCTCTTGAATCTTCAATACAAACTCACTCTTTCAAACTTTTGTAACTTGTTCATAAACGCTTCCACACCCACAAACTCTAGTAGGACAAGGTTTGGAATGGAATCCATTTTAGAAATCATAAAATAAGAATTCAAGGGAAAAAGTGCAGGCCTACAGTCATTTTCAGATAAAAAATAAATGGTAAAAATTATAAGCAAGTGTACAAGAAGGAAATAGGCGGTGTAAAAGAGGGTAATAGAAAAAGGATGTGTAGGTGTATAAGTAGAAAACGTAAGTAGAAAAGTGTGTTGGTAATTAAAGAAGAAAGATATTAAGAGTTACGAGGAGATTGACTGTAGAAGGAAAGTCTGAGGGACAAGATGGGGTAGAGCAAAGAAGCTGGAACCAAATCGTTGAAGGATGTTTGTTGAGGCCTTATAAGTTCCTCGTGGAGCTCAAAGAAAGTCAAGTCACAGTCAAACTTACAGACTCGATGGCCTTCTCAAGCCGATATATTTCCTCCTGCAGTAGATGTAACGTGCCAGTCTTGCCACGATGTCTAGCAAAGGCAGCGGCACAAGCGGAGTGAATACTGTTCACCCAGTTCTCAAGCTCAACCTGACACGGCGCCTGAAACAGAAAGTAACCATCAGAAACTGAAAACTACATACTGATCATAACAAGGCTTGCTGGACCCCAATATGCGAGGAAAAACACAGTCAAATATGATAAGGTTTGACCTCTTCCAAACAATGAGTTAAACACAGGAAAATTTAAAAACACATTTAAACAATGAAATGGATTTTAACCAACCCGTGGTAAACTGTCTTTTAATAGTATATTTCGTACCTAGGGCCGAAAATGAGGTTTTGCCGGCTCGAGATAGTTTTTAAGTTCGAGACGAAGTCGAGAACTTAAATCGATCGAGAGCTGCAAAACCATTTCGGTCCGTGGTACGAACACTATTTTTCACCACACTTTACCCTATTACCACTATTCACCACTATAATAATGCACACTGATGGTCAACACAACTACAACTTTAAGGTTATATGAGGAAATAATTTGAGGAATCAGCAAAAATAAAAATAAATAGTTGCCAGGCAACGGTGACAATAACACAATTCTATTGCAATGCTATGGATTTTGATTGTGTATTTAAAATGCATTCATGTTTTAAGTAAGTAAGCGGACAGCTGATTTTGCGGCCCCGGCCTGTAAAAACCTGCTCGGTCCCCAAATTATGGACAGCTGGCATCGCCAGCAAAACGTAACTTTCGGCCACCAATTAACGTATGTAATACAGCCAAAAACATGATAGTGTGGTGAAAAAATATTAACGGGTGCAGTTCTGAAAAAAATTAAGTTTATTATAAAATGTTTTGCCTCACACTATAATGTTTTAACCAGCTTCCCACGCAAGAATTTAGTCCAAACAGCTATCGCCAGCTTAATCAAATTGGGTTACATAACGTACTACTGTAATGTAATGAGATTTTACCGGACACCAACCAGCTGATTATGTTTGGCAATGGGTGGTTATAACCGAAAACATAACCTCTGTTAGAGGTTATGAGTAGTGATTGTAAGTCTTTTAGTCGGTGGGTATATATAAGGATTTTTTTTTGTTAAGTTAGCTTAGAGTAGTATGGCGTAAAAAATCGAACTTCACTCGTCCAAAAGGTGTTTACCGGACTCACTCATTTGGTAATTCCGCACTCGCCTTCGTCTCGCACGGGAACGACCACACTCGTCTGATAAACAACTATTATTAGGACTAGTAATGTAATATACTATTACAGCTTATTTTGTCAAATAACCAAGTTTTTGGCTAATCTGATAGTTTTTGATATAGGGAAAGTGTCTCATCTTCCTTTTAGAGGTTATTTTCAATAAATACATGATGAAAATTATACCTACATTAATAAATATGAAAAAAACCTCTTCGTTCACAGACCTACAGAGTTAAGCAAACCCCACATGCAAAAATATGATAATCAACACATCTTGGTGTGAAAATACTGACTTAATGAATCATTAGTCACTGGAGGGAAACAATGTAAAACAACTTTCTATTCTGAAGATGAGTTGGCAAATCCCTAAATAAATTGTTTATGAAGTGTTAAGAAATATTAAGTAAATGTGGCTACAAGGAATTTATAATCATTAACAATTAACTTTCATTAAAACTAATATTAAACTTCAGTTAATTATCAATAACCCATCAACATTGTTAATTAACCTTTCCAAACAACGTAAACAAGAAGAGCTTGACTTCTTGCAAGAGGCTCTTTGACAATGAAGACTTCACAAAACACTGTTAAGGTTCATGGTGGGTTGATCTAATTAAACTCTTCCGTCAATATTGTCTTAGAAATACAAGATTCACAGTCAAAGTTATATAAAGACCTAATAATAGTTATCCTAACTTCCTAAGTTAAGAAACTAGTTGTATAAACTAGTTGTTAAAGGTACAAAGTAGTGGATCAAAGGTTTTATTTATTTATTTATTTATTTATTTATTTATTACAAACACGGCAAACGCCATTTTACAAGAGAGTTGAGTTGAGATTAATAAAAATTTCTTGTGACTTAAAGTGAAATAGTTAAGTGCGATCAATAATTAAATATTATAACAAGTATGAAATACTAATAAATAATATGAAATATAATATAAAATTTGAGGTAGTATATTTTCTTTTCTGAATTATATTCAGCTTTAATCGAGTACTTGATTTCCGTACATAGGACGGGCCAACAGCTAGTTTTATTTAAATCAATTTAATTTTAAAATTTTTTAGTATGCTACTTTTAAATCACATTTACAACATATAATAGACATTCAAATATTTATTTAATCTATCATTTTGAATCTTTGAACGGCTGCCATTTTTTACTCAAGTTTATTTTTGAGCTCAAATTTTCTGACATTGTATTCTACTAATAGTAGACCTTTAATTTGAAGTGCATTTCGACCTTTGCTTCCATTTAAGATTTTTTTCCGTCTTCTAGTGGGCGCCCCCTGAGGAGTTAGCATAATAGCATTGCAAATTCAATGAATCTCTGAACTGCTGCCATTTTTGACTCAAATGTCCATTTGAGGTGCGGTTTGCGGTATTGTTTTTGGTTCAACAAGACCTTTGATGTGATATATATATCAACCTGCTTACCTTTAAGATTTTCAATTTACTCTATATGGGCCGTCGGATAGGTGACATCCGATCATCGTGTACACAAACAAAATCAAAATAGCTTGCTATTAGCCAAATATAGTTGAGATATAACTTTTCGTTTTATAGTTATAAAGTCGTCCTTAATTGTCACCCTGTATAGGTTCCAACTATCAGTCTTGGTGGCAAGTATGTTTGAAGCATGCGTTTTAGTTCAAAAGGTAAAATAACGAAGCCAACAACAACCAGTATTAAATAATCACTGATTTTAACAAAACGCAACTTTTTCTTGTATGTCGGATAACCACCTACAGTCTAAAAAGGGAATGGACAATGTTTTTGCCCAGGGCTGAGGGCATGTTGACAGGACAGGTTATATTTCATGCACAACGGACACTCGAGCCGAGAGATGTGGGCCTTTGTAACCACCCAACAAGTGAACAAAAGCTTACTTCTTTGTTACTTTTATAAAAGCTCCTCCTTTAACCGAATGCTGAGATTTCCCCTCTGCACAAGTGCCCTTCTCTGCTTTGTTCTGAATTCTAGTATCATTTGCCAACACGAGTGCTCTATTTTCAGATAAGTCCTGTTTGGAAGCTTCATTCGTAGTAGACCTACTTACCATTGAGTCCGAGATGTTCTGGAAAAATAATCTCAATTGATTGAAAGGAAAAAGTCTCTCAATTGTCTTTGTGAAAAAAATCCTTATTTAGGAAAAGGGGTGTTTTCCCATTTGTTTCTTAACATTGTAAAAATAGGTTTGGGATCCTAAACAAGTTGTTTCATTCCTAAGGTGTTTCATTCCCCAGTTATGATTAAAATACGTCAATAATATTTTACTTAAATGTTACTCAAACAATCCATAAAAAAACATACAATAGGTAATCTATTAACATTTTTGTGTGTATATTGGGCATATTCGATGTTTTGTATTAGTCCAATAAGTGGTATTCAACCAAATCCAATAGTAATTTTAACTGCAATCCCAAAAATAATGTGTTTTAAATATCTTGTTAGTGTTTATTTTACGAAATACTCAACGGTGGAGACAATATGCAAAACAGATATAAGCTCTCGAGATGGGGAACACTATGTAAATGTACACGGGATGAAAGAAGCAGCAGGTGGCCATTAGGCAAATTTGTCGAGATCTTTTCAGGTGGGCTTTGCATGAATAATAAGTATAATGCATCTGAGTCACTTCCACTGTCAAAAGTGTCAATCTAAAGCCTGGTCGAAGTGATTTTTAGAGTAAAAATACAATCTGAATAATCCTCCCTACTAATGTTAAGTAGGTCAAATACATGTAACATGGTAATATGTATATGCACTAATCCTGTTGAATTTATAACAGTAGTAGCTACATGTGAATAAAGTTATTGAAAGTAACTTAACGAAAAGTCGAAAAGTATTATGAAAATGTACTCAAGTTCAGATATCAATTTTCATAGCTATGGCAGAGAGAGAGAGGGGGGGGGCAGGTGGTCTAAGTGCTCTCCAATTTATATTAAACTGTCCAAAGTGAATTTCGGTAAGTTTTCTCTCCACTCGGATAAAAAACTTTGGCGTAACAGATAAAAGCAAAGTTCACATTGTTTCTTTCAACAAATCTGAACACTTCATTAGATAGGTTCAAACAGTTTGTTATTTCTGGCCGTTTGACCAGCCACTGAACTGATGGTCAGTGGATTCATCTTTTGTCAAGTGTTAAATGAACTCTTGACAAATCCTAAATCAAGTCCTTTAGAATCCTTTTCAGAAGGAATGTCTTTGTTATGTCAAGTTGAAAATAGCGTTAAAATGTCAAGGGGCAGATTAAACTCACCTCATTTCACCATCCAATATCTGCATTTATAAGAAATCATGTTTTTACCTCGGTATTTAATATGCTAAGTATATTTTTTTAGTCATACGTCAATCATAATCCTGGATGACTCACATTCTGTTTTAAATAGTCAACTTGTTGCTTTTTTTCCTTTACTTTTCATGTTTTGGAAGGATAGAGGAATACTGCTGTTCTTATGACAGCTCCTTCCTAATAAAAACAAATAAAAATATGCATAGGCCTCAATTTTTTAATTCTTATTAAACTACGGTAAGTACCGTTGGCGAAAAATATTTTTTTAATAAGTTGATCTATGTTTGACAACCATACTTTGTTAAATATGTTCAATTTTTTTTACCGAAAAGGACACTTTATTCAATAAAACCAATACAAGTTATCATTGACAAATAATAGAGAAACCCCAAAATATTGATTCGCCACAAACTTGTCTCCAAGATAATACTTGTGGCGTCCCTAACTATGAGAACAAAGGCCCAAAGATAAAGCTGCCTCTAAACAAAAGTCTTACGGGGAGTTTAATTATTCAGAGTTGAGACAAAGGAATGGATGATGTACTTAATTTACAAGAGGAAGCTCCACACCTCCTACCAGTTCATTGTGTCTAGGACGCCAACTTGGTTCTTGCAACTTGGTATTGTTGGCCTCAACTTTCCCAACTACTGTTTCTCCTAGTCAGCTGGCAATCAAACTTTAATATGGTTCATCTAGAGATATTCTCAATAGAATATAGTTTTACAGATTGGCAAATATTTCTTGAGATAAGTGATGAGATAAGAGTTTTTAGCCCAGCATAGTCAATGTTTTTATTGGTAAGATCAACAAAATTACGTCTTTTACAGTCCGGGATGTTGATGATTCCAGAGAAAGTTCATGAATGGACAGGTTAGTCCAACCATTTGGACCAGTGGACTAACCAGTGGACAGGACTTAGGGATTTTGTTTGTTAAAATGAGATGAAGAAAATAAAGTTAAATTGTTTGAAATGCCAATGTCTAAGTATGCAAAAATATACTTCTAACAAAATTAACTTATCTGCTTGGAAGGTTATACATTTATTATTATATAATTATATTAGATCCTCATAAACAAATCCTAAATAGTGAACACATCTCCTATAGGCTATTCTGTAATTTTTTGAGGTTGTTCTTCATAATATGAAAAGTTAAGAGAAGCCAATTTCCTTGTTTCATGATACTAGTGACCACAAATAGTTTAAGGCATGGGGTGTTGAAAGATATTTTTTAAAGTTTTCATTACATATAGCCTAAACTAAAATAAATTGATCTAGAGTAATGAAAAAAGAAAGCGTAAAACAATACAGATTGGTGATGTTAAAAGCCTAGTTAGTAAATGTACGGCGTAAGTAAATGATTTAATATTACCTAAAGCTTCTAACTGTGAAAATAATGAGAGAAATATGCTGGATTATTTGTATAAGAGACAGTCTGCATTTTCTTTACAAATCAACTCAAGCGTAAAACGGTATCTGCAATGATTACAAACACTTGGCCTGAGACATCAATAAAGGTATTCAAATAAATCTTCAGGAATAAATAGAAATATCTCAGCCATCGCTTATTTCTCGTGAAATGTATTCATAGCCTGTGTATCTCAGATTAAAATACAGACAGGTTTATTTGTTATATATTTCATAATGCACTGTCTTTGATAGAGGTTTTTTCTACCAGAGGTTTCAAAATTTACCATAGAGGAAAACACACTAAAACCCTAAAAAATTAGGTTGGAATCTTTAAAACTTAACTAATCTTTTTCATTGTACATTTGTAAACACTTATCACAATGTACCTAATAAAAAAGTGAATGGAATACTCAATCCCGATATAAATAATTATTTATAGAAGTAGTAGTAAGTATAATATAAAAATAAAATAGGTATATTATACTAGCTATTACCCACAGTCTTTGCCCCGTTTGACTTTGTACACATTAATAAAACTATTGATTTTACGGGTTTTTATTTTTAACAATGGATTTACTTAACATTCTTCACCACTAACTCATATCATAACCTATCGTTATTGTACTCAGTAATTATTACCACATATGAAATAGGTGATGGAGGACGCAAAGGTGGTTTCTTCAGCTGAAGAAGTGAGGAGAGTTTGAGTGAGAAACAATTTTAAATCCCAAGAACTCTAACCGAAGCCACCCAATCCATGTAAACTTGAATCTAACCTCATGTTATGTTACCATGTCACATAGGAGTGGTAAGGTTCTCTATAACCTAGTTGAATAGGCAATAACACTTTTACAATACCTGAAACAAGTATGCGTCTCCAAAAGCAGTGCTCAAGCAGAAGATGTAGTCTCGCTTGGGATGCTCAGGGATTGGCTGCATGATGGCGCCATCTACGATGATGAGATGTTTGGGCGCTGCTTCCACAGATCGTCCTTCCCTGGAGTCGCAAGGGTAGAACAACAATGTCGTACCCTTGAGGCACACCCAGTATCCCTTCCAGCCGCGCTTGCGGGCCAACTCTATCTGGTGTTTCTTCCGCAGTAGCCACTTCTTGACGCTCAGAAACCTGCAACAGATACTTCAACTTCAACTTCATCCATTGGAGGAATGAGGAAATCACTATCTGGTGCAGAATGTTTGAAAAACATTATTATCATTATCATTTGGCCTATCAAATGAGATGGAGATGCCACTTAGGTGCGTATTTTAACCCAAGGATAAGTGTCGAATGGAGGTAGATGATCTTTCTAGATTTGTTCATGAAAAGAGTACTTTGCCTATTTTAAGATGGAACGTAAGAAGTCAAGTTTGGTGAAAGGTACTTTTTCTTTTAGGATTTGTTTGAAACTAGAGCATGTTCTTTTAGCTTGGAGGATAGAGGGAAGTTAATAGTAAATAGAGTGCTTAAGAACTTCGCAGACTTAAATAAGTGCCTTTAAAATTCTCAAGATCTACTTAAGTTTATTTAACAATGAGGTAGTTATATTTTCCGTGACAAGAGTTAACAAGGCATTGTTACACTTCTGTGCAAATAATAGTTTCTTATGCAAAACACCATAATGGTGGAACGATGCATTGTGCAATGTGACGTGACGTCAGAATCCTTTGTACAGGAAGACGAAGTGCTGGTCTGCTTCAACTTTTAACATTTACAACAAAAGGACATGAATTACACAAAAGTCATATTAAAATGCAATAAAAGCATACAGGGGTGTACAGTGCTTCATGACTTGTAACAGGATATTGGGGAGAAGTTTTATCCATAAGTTTTGAATAGAAATTTGTTTTATTGTACTGTATAGGTAGGTGGTTGTATTCCAAGGTATTTAAAATGCTAAATACAGTACTGGTAGATCTTAAGTTGCCTTTCATATTATCATTATCAAATTTCCCGCCGCAGCAAACCTGCAGAATAAGCGGATCTCCATTTGTCTGATTGCATTTTGACATAAATTACTTAACATTGGTATAAACCAGTTCTAAGGTATGCTGCTACTGGGAAGATAAGTTACTGAAATGTGTTATAAGTTAGCTAAGGATTAAAAAAACAATTTGTCAAATTTAATTACAATCATAAACATACTGTACAAACTATGTACCGTTCCTATTTTAGGGAGCGCATAACCAGCCCATTGTTATCTGGTGTAGGTCTACTGTAAAGCCTGGTTTTCCTAGGTGCAGAAGCGGAGAGCGGACTCTACTTAGTAATTTAATGTTACTGTTTTCCTAGAAGCGGAGTGGAACACCATGTTAATCTCCTCCGTTTTTCGCGCCTAGGAAACCCCAGCTTAACCATAGGCATAGCCTGGAATCCCCAACCATGTTAGGGGTGCTAACCTAAGCTTGTCGTATTATGCGTTACAATTAATTATAAACACTTCAATATCTATAAGTTTTGCTAAAAGACTGGTAGGCCTATCTATTTAATTAGGGATTACTGGAAGTCCGTTTTGTTTTCAGTATTCATTTTAACTTAGTCAAATGTTCAGATTGTTTCAAAAATGCAAATAAAGTTTAGTTTGTAGTTCTGTTTTCAATTGAAAGCAGGCTCATTTTTTCTCTGAATTAATCTAACTGAGCATTTTGTCATTCCTTAATTTAATTCACTACCTTAACGAATCGGCTGTGATACCACAATTAATTGTGAATCAGTAACGACTACAAACTGTAACCTTAACCATCACTGGTTATGATAGGCCATGCTATACTGTAGAATGTTCTGTTACCTATTTATGTCAACAAATATACATTTCAGAGTTTAGGGCAGGCTATAGCTTATTGACTCACCAGCTACATGCTATGCATTCTAAAAAGCGAACTCGGGGCCTAGCCCGGCTGAGTAGGCCTATATTTACGATACGTTCTACACTTCCTTGATAAACCCGCTACAGATCACGGACATAGGCCGATAATCCGTCTCAAAGACGCGAGGTAATATAAACTGATAACTTGAACTTAATTAAACTCATTGTCGTGGGAGCCATAACAAGCCCAGCAAGCCCAAGCCAAGCCCCAAGCGTCAGATGTCAGATCAGATGATTTTGTTGTCTGTGTCTGCCCTGCAGACGACGCGACAGCGACAGCCGACACCCGCCACCCACCGGGCTAACTTCAGCCACGGGGCCACGGCCACCTAGGCCTTGGCCTTCGAAGTGGCAACGTCACAAGTAGCGTTGTAAATGTTATTGCCGGCTTGCGGCTCTCGGCTCCACTAGGTTTTTTTTTGCATTTTCCACTGTTTATAGGCCTACTTGTATCAACACTTCTCTATTTATTTATTACTGGTTCACTAACTGCAGTGTGAGTGTCAACACTGACTAGTGACTGTCACAGTTTAGGTTGTGTTGTGACTGATTTGACTACTGAGGAGTACTGTACTGGACTGGCGCCGCGCGGTAGTTGGTAGTTGTGACTTGTGGGGATGGGGGTGGGACTGGGAGGGAGAGGAGGGGCACGTCAACCGTATGCCTGTATACTACTGCTGGCCTATGTGATATTCCCGTAATTTGCTGACGTCACCCAAATCGCAAACAAAAAATCAGCTGATGTATTGACATATAAGTATATATTTGTTTTGATTTGATTGTTATTGTTTTTATAATTTTTCTCAATGGTAAAATTGTGTTTGCAATCTGAGTGACGTCAGCATATGACGGGAATAGCATACCTATGTATTTTCCTTCCACCATGCAGGGCTCCCTGCGTCTGATAGTATAGTGAGTGCGCCCATGGTGGAAGTAAATGTGCGCCCGGTTCACACTGCTGCCTGCCTTTCCCTGACTACACGAGGTAGGCCTATAGCCTGAAGGTCGAGTATTTTCAATTTTGTTGTATTTATTTACTTTTGCAATAAGGGAAAATCACTTAACTACAAGTTGAAATCACCCATTCTATTTTTGAAATCCCGACTAATAAAACCCTATTTTTCCTAGTCCGGGCGGTGGTTCAGGGCGCCCCTCGGGCGCCCCCCAACCACCGGCGCCCCTGGGCATATGCCCAGTCTGCCCGTTTATAAAAGTGGGCCTGACTTCAGCCGTGGCCGTGGCCTTCGAAGTGGCAACGTCGCAAGTGGTGTTGTAACAGCGGTTTTGTTTGGAAGCAGCTAACTTAATGGTATCTGTGTATTTACGAAAGATTGGTTACTGGACTATGACAATATTGACTCCGCTAAAAAAGTACATATATAGATGTTTCATTCATATTGTTCGGTTTTCAATTCTGTAAGTTTTATTTTCTATATTTTAATAAATTCATGTTCATAAATTTGGAATGGGCACACGGGAGGGACTAAGGCTAAAGGTGTAGTGACGTCATATCTCTACCCAAGTAGCACAAATATGTATATAATACGTATAATTTACCTACCGGCATGGTATAGCTTTTGTATACAATCTGTATAGAAATGTATACAATACAGATTGTATCTGTAAATATGTCCCACCTAAATATGTATTATTTGCATATTGTATAAGGATCCAACTACAGATATGATACATATTATACATCTGTATATAATCTGTAAATTTTGATAGAAATTGATGCATACCTTAAATGTATAAAATACATATTTTATACATAGATGATACATATTTGATGCCATATTAATAAAAAGTGGCTCAAAATACAATTGTCATAAAAATCAATATATAAAATTATATACATTGATTTTTACTAACAGTTTTCTTTGAAGGCATTTGTTATGGGAGGTGAACTATGTGTCATGAGGGTTGGTGTGTTGTATGATGGTAAAACAATATTTTAAGTCTTCATTAGAAATATGTGTTTTGTGATTTGTCAGGTAAATACATAATTGATCTAGTTTAGGGACAACCTACTGCTGTTCAGTAGTTTCATCTGAAGCAGGCCCGTAGGACCTCGGGGTACGGATCACATCCGAGGCTCCTAAGGTGAACCAGATGGGCCCTAGTGAAAGTCTAGAAGGGGAAAGAGCACCTATTACAGTTACTACATCATTACAATACAGTATGCAAAATGTAATGTTATATTGTTGGTGTAGGCTAGCTATCACACACTAGCATATGAGAGAATTATGCAATTTTTGTAGTCTTCCTTAAAAATTGTAGCAGCCACAAAAAAACAAATGATTTTACCTTTAAAGAATATGTGTTTTAATGAAGTAGGGAAGATAAAGAATATGGCAACTACCTTAACAAATATTAGACCAAGACAGCTTTAAATTTTTTTAATTATCGTACATTGAAGATTATTTGAGAAAAACTTATTAAATTACCTTGTTGAGAATAGGTACCACTTAACAAGCATTTTGGATAGTGCATTTATTTGCACTAAAAAAGTAAATAATAATGTTAATTATTACATTAGTGTTTATATTACCAAGCATTATTCAGCTGATAATAATTAATAGTAATAACTAGCTTGAATGTTAAGAAGATTAAGTTGAAATAGTTTAGAAAAATAACTTATTATTAATAATAATAATACAGTATGATTATAACAACTGAAAGTGTAAAAAAAAATACTAACTCACTTCTCACAACTGATGAATAATTTCTAGTTTTTTTTTAACTGAATCTTATTCTTACATGAAAATGTTGTTTTTTTAGTTTCACATTTTCCCTGTTGTTTATTTAATGTGAGTAAACAAGAAGGCTAGGCTCAACAAATAATAATAGATTTTGAAGTAACTTTTTAGACCTATTCTAAATTGTGCACAAAAAATACTTGCACAATAAAAAAACAAAAAATAATTGCACAAAAATACAAAAAATGAGTAAAAATATTTGTTCAGATGTAATCACAAGTACCCTAATACATTCAAGTATAAAAGTTGTTTTTATAAAATTGTTTCTGTTGTTTATTAACACACTTTTTAAAGGAACATATTAATGAAACAATGAAGAAATGTCAAGAAAAAACTATTTAATTGATCATCTGCGGTAGGCCTAAATTTTTATTTTTGACATAAATCCTTGTTCCTGCTTGGCGTAACCATTCGCTGGTTTTTTTCTCAAACGTTGTGAGATCGAATGAGGACGGGTGTTGTTGACACCTGAAACAAAATTCACACTTGTGTCAATGTCTGTA